TTGAACATCCGTAGTTTGATAGAGTAACCATCAAGACAAAGGGATCCCTTGGTAGATCTATTTATATCATGATTTGATCAATTAAGCTGTTAACCCCATTCCTAAGTTAGAATACTATAAGCTCGGGATTATCGCTCTTTAGCTTGCATCAAAAATACATTTTCCTACACTTATGTGTAATTCAACCTGCCATCCAACTATTTCAGACAAACAAGAGTTGTGTTCTGTTCTAGATATTCACCTCCATGTCATGGTAGGAGTGTTGTTCACCATGTCATGGTAGGAGTGTTATTCACCATGTCATGGTAGGAGTGTTGTTCACCATGTCATGGTAGGAGTGTTGTTCACCATGTCATGGTAGGAGTGTTAATTCACCATGTCATTGTAGGAGTGTTAATTCACCATGTCATGGTAGGAGTGTTATTCACCATGTCATGGTAGGAGTGTTATTCACCATGTCATGGTAGGAGTGTTGTTCACGATGTCATGGTAGGAGTGTTATTCACCATGTCATGGTTGGAGTGTTATTCACCATGTCATGGTAGGAGTGTTATTCACCATGTCATAGTAGGAGTGTTATTCACCATGTTATAGTAGGAGTGTTATTCACCATTATTATTAATTATTAATTATTATTTATTAACCTAGTTATTGATAATTATTTGATATTTTAAACTGCAATTATCATGAAAAAAACAGATGTAGATTTTTCTTACATCATTTTATAGCCAGTGTGATGTATAATACAATGGCCAAGAAAAACAGTGTGAAAATCTAAACTTAGCGCTGTTGCACTTGAAATTATGATTATATGTTTTGAGGTCTGTATTTATAACAACTCAAATGAATCTTAAAAACGCTAATGAGAAGCTGTGGCTTAATTAGCACCGCCAGCTAGGCCTGCAAGCTGATTAGGTATTACCACCAGCCGGGGACCGAATAATTACATGATCATAACATTAGTTGTGGTTAGACATGCATCGTATAGGGGGCACGGGTGGCCCAGTCAACCAAGGCATCGCGATTCGCGGTGCAGAGTTGCGTCCCTTAGGCACGCCAGAAACCTATGATTGTGGGTTCCAATCCCAGATCGCCCCGATTATGTTTCTAGGTTTGTCAGCACCATACGTGTGCTCGTGGGTTTTACTCACTCACTCACTCACTCACTCACTCACTCACTCACTCATAGAGTCCATGATATGTTGATCATCCTGGTTATTTCGTCACTAATTAATGTTGGTCACAGGTTCCAACATGTAGGGGTTCACATGTTCTCCTTCCACAGAAATCACCAAATTCATCTTCCGCGATACATTCAATTTCCATGACAACTCAAAAACTACGATCAACGTCAGAGTTGGACATATCGGCAAGTGATGATCGATTTTAGCTCACGATACCGTAAAAAGGAGCAATGTAAGTGTGATTGAAGCTTCATCATTTGATACAGATATCAGTCAATATTTTAAGCAAAGAAAGCCTCACAACAAAATAAATAAAGTACTGAAACATGAACAATAAACACACTTCAAGAAATATCATATTTCGGACATCCTTTTCCCGAGGAAGAGTGAAATCATTTTGTGATATAAATGGCCTTTGTCACATTTCCATTGTGGAAAGAAAGAGGAGTATATTTTAATCTTTTAATCCGAAGAAGGAATTACGAAGGAAAGTACAGTGTACAAATGGTCATTCACAGTTTCATTGTGGATAGGAGAATTTATCATATAGGGGTAGGTTTATCGGCAGGTGAAGCCAACGGCTAAAAATGTTATAGGTTGGGGTTATATACGGACAAAGATGCAAATTTGAAAGGTCAGGTAGGTACTACTTTCAGAGTTTACAAACAAACATGGCATCATCCTTGTCTAAACCATTGTGAATGTGGAAAAATTACTGGGATAATCGGTATTATTAGCAAAACAATAGTCTAAGCTCCTGAAGATCAGTGTCTAGGCATTTTACAAGTTTGGGCAATTTTGGAGGTATAAATTGCAAAACAATTTAGCAAGGACACGGGCCTAGCGGGATCACTTTCCAACCCTCTTGTAGACCTTGAGGGTTGGGTCCTTTTTCCCCTGATTGATTTATTTGGATTAAGCCGAAATATGTCTGAATCTTGTCGCTGTGTGTACATCTGACTGCACTTCATAATGTTGTGGGTGTGGCTGTATTTATGCAAGGAAACAATTCAAATCAGTATTAAACTGCAATAAATCATTATTGTTGGGGCATAATAATATAATTTCATCCATGCCAACCTCAATGCGAAACACCCACTATATATCATATTGTATTACTTTATCATATTGTTTTTTAATTACGTACCTACAGATGAACAAACTCAACGGTAGTTCCCTTCTTTGAATGCTTGATGAAAGACAACATGTACATTTTACCAAACATTTATTCTTCTCGTTAATCTGTGGATCCGTCAACAGTTTATGTACACAAATACGTTTCATTTTGTCAAAAAATAAATATAATAAAAAAAATATAATGCCTCCCTCCTATATTTTAAAACAATAATATAAAAATGTATTTAATTTATTTTGGCCTCCTCAGTGAATGATGCAATGTTCTGTAACTATTACTGTTGGTCTTTGAATCCTCCGACCTAGGATCTGAACACCTGATCAGGTCAGACTGCCATTAAATAGTCAGACAGTCTTACGATCGACATGTGTTAACACAGATAGTATTTTCCTAAAACCTACCTCTAGTGGACATGGCGTCTCAGACATCAGGCGGCTCCCAACCCATGACTTCTCACTGTATTTTGCCATAGATAACAATGATTACACGGAAGTGAAGAGTGGGTGTAAGGAAAGCAGCATAACACATGATGAGCTGTAAGAAGTGTGCAGGAATATCCTATTTCAGTAAATGCTTCGCATTAGTAAATGCTGAAGCTTGATATTTGCCGTGGCGTGCCACCAGAGCTTATGAACAGTTCGTGTGTGGAGTTTTCATGCCATTAAGTAACAAAACACAGCTAGCTGAAAACACCTGTGGCAGTGTGTTTTGCAAAGGACGCAGAAACATCCTTCGGAGAGAAGTTAGCCAGTTAGTGTATTGAGTAAGAAGCTAAGTAACTAGCAGCAGGTGAAGTTGCTTCGAGAAGATTAACAGACACATGCGTGTACATGAGACAGACCATTGTATCAAAGTGTTTTCATGCAAAATGAAAAAAACAAAATTTACTTGAAATACTGCAACAGAATTTAATTTGTTTAGGTTAATGTTCTCAAGGTGTGGTTTAATTATGTAAAATAATCTAACCAATATTTTATTTATTTTCAGTCATAAACTAAATATGTTTTAAGTATCAAATTACCATGATGCCACACATAGTTTCCCATCATGCCACATATAGTTCGACATAATGCCACACAGAGTTTCCCATCATGCCACACATAGTTTCCCATAATGCCACACATAGTTTCCCATAGTGCCACAGATACTTTCCCATAATGCCACATATAGTTTCCAATACGGGACCAACCAATTGATGTTCTCTGGGGGAGGGAGCCAGAATTTTTCAGGGAGCTCTTTTTCGTAAAAATCCCAGCCCTCTCAACCACCACCCACCCCCACCCCCCATCGTGATTATCAGAAATGGTTTGGCCACATCACATATAGTTAGAAATATATTCAAAGAAAATCATATCTAGATACACATTTTGGGGGAATTAATTAATTTACATGCTTTGTATGTAAGTTTGGTTCAACATATATCTGTGAAAAGAGGGGGCAAGGGTGGCCCAATCGTGTAAGGGCGCCACGATTCGCTGTGCAGAGTTGCGTCCCTTAGGCACGCCAGAAACCTATGATTGTGGGTTTGAATCCCGGATCACCCCGATAATGTTTCTAGGTTTGTCAGCACCATACCTGTGCTCGTGGGTTTCACCGAAGTGGTAAACGTCTGAGACCTGCATCACTTCGGGCTTTCCTCCCATATTAAGCTGACATGCTGTGATATAACTGGAATACTGTTAAAAGCGGCGTTAAACCAAACTCACTCACTCACTCACTGTGAAAAGATTGAAAGACCAGCCCTTAAAAGGCCTTTAATTTAAACTCCATATCATTTGAGGATGCCTAATGGTTTCGTGTTAACTGAGCAAATTGAAATGTTGTGTATTTGGGTGTTTTTGCAACATCATCAACATGATGCAGCCGAGAATCATAGGATATTATATATATGAGTGTTCATGTCACACTATGTTTATGACACAAGTGTTTTAATACCAGAATTTAGTCACGAGTGTCGTAAACATAGTATGACTTGAACACGAATGTAATGTTCTATTAATTACCGAAGAAGATGTCTACATACAGTGACATCGTGTTTACTTATAATGACGGCACGTCGCAACAGCAGCGGAACCACAATTTGTCGAATTACATCAACAGTCGTCAGCTATGACGTTGTTTCTAGTGTGACGTCATTCCGACCTCACGTCACAATAAGATTCGAATGACGTTAACAATGCTGTCCAGATGACGGAAACAATATACTGTTGTCTCGTGACGTGATATGACCCTAGGGCAAACATGATTTTTATGAACCCTGATATGTTTGCCCTCGTAGCTAATAAATCATGCTATTGACCACAAGTTTTCTCTTTCAGATTTGTTTCCACTGCATGTTTTTTTTTTTTTTTATAACCAAGGTGTTGCTCATGCTTTCATGCTGTGCAGAGTTGCGTCCCTTGGGCGCGCCTGAAACCTATGATTGTGGGTTCGAATCCCAGTTCGCCCCAATTGTGTTTCTAGGTTTGTCAGCACCATACCCGTGCTCGTGGGTTTCACCGAAGTGGTAAACGTCTGAGACCTGCATCACTTCGGGCTTTCCTCCCATATTAAGCTGACATGCCGTGATATAACTGGAATACTGTTAAAAGCGGCGTTAAACCCAGCTCACTCACTCACTCATGCTTTCATAGATATGGGTATCTAATTTACAAATGTGACAAAATTATATTCTTTTCCAGATATTGTCCCTCCATTGAGTCCAAAGTGCTGAGATTTAAAAGGAAACAGCACCAAGTATGGCTAGAACCTGAAGGTAAGACTGTCACTCATCACAGAAACATTGATCCCAAAGACCATCATTTACATAAAATAAGATACTTTATCCTTTCTCTTGCTTATCAGATTCTCTATTTTTATCCAAAGAAACTGTCTTACAATAATAAGATGCCATCTTATTATTTCACTAATCTCATTGAAATTGGACACTTCTCCTTTAAAGGTCTGATGCTCCCTCCAGAGTAAGTCTGATTAACCCTGAGCCAAATTTTACTGCCCAATTAAAATGAAGGATGCTTGTGTTTTTGAGCCAATGAGATGTCTATTTTCTGAAAAAGTTTGGCTTCATTGTCAAACTGGTTGCCTTGGACAGATCATTGTTTGGTGGAAGAGAAAAGAAACAATATTACAAAATAGCCCAGTCATTTCTTTCTCCATTTGGAACTGCCCATTTACATTTGCTTCTCCCACGTATAAGATGACACATCGCAATACACAATTAATGTGGAGGGTACCGTTTCTAGTGAAATCGTCCAGAATAACAGATTTCAGAGAGATAATTAAAGCTCAACATCAACAAAAATCTTGGCAATGTCATCAACTGAAGACAACACCATCATTCCAGGTATCTCTTTATAGTTTATGTTGTTGGATTGAATATATATTTGAATTCTGAACTTCTCAACATGATCCTTTTACTTAAGAAATAAACGACTCATGGTTGTTGTTTATTGTACAATAAAACACTGCAGGGAGACTCAACCATTTCTAATATGAGATATCATCATTATGGACTGCCTCTTTAAGAATGTTGATAAATTGTACAAGTTTAAAAAAATATTTACCCAAATGTTAATAATGATGACTCCCTGAATAAAAAGTCAAGTTTACGAATAGGTGGGTTAGGTTTGGTATTACCCGTATATACTCACAATCCTCACGTTGATTGTCTGTATCTTTTCTCCTCATACTGATTGTCATATCTCGCCTAATTTTGGATGCGATCATTCTGCCACTACATTTATCTGCGTAGCCCAGCTAGATCTTTGGGAAACAACTTACTTGACACTTCCCTCTAAAAAATAACGTTGTCCAATATATGACGTCAGGAATTTGCAAGCGCATATTAGAATCTCCAGAAATGACGTCATGATTGAACAATGTTTTTTTGTGAAATGAACCATGCTTCGTTCTTCATTGTGCCTTTACAATTTATCGTGTAGTAGAGCTAGGACGGGTAACACAGGTACTCGGGTCGGGTGGGTCCTCAGTAGGACCCGGGTACCGACAGTACTACCCGGACCCGTGGTTAGTCACGGGACATATTGTTTAATGACAAAAACTCTCTAGAGCTCAGTGGTTACACTACAAGTCGCTATTGTTCCCATTTCTTTATGATGATGCACACATTCCTTTTGACTTGTATATGTTTGAGTAAAGATAAAGCTTCAGTCAACTTCAGTGTACGCATGATTTGATCGTTACATAAGAGACCATAGATCTATTATATGGTCTCTGGTTTCATACATGTATCTCAACAGTTTTTGCCAGGGCAACTGTTAAACTATTCCCAATTAGACATTGTGTTCCCAACTCTTGAGACCTACAGTGGGTACTCAGATAGGGTCAGGTAATAGGGGGTTGGGTACCTGGGTAGTAAATTTGGACTCGTCCCAGCCCTATCGTGTAGCTATCTTTTGTTATAAGGGTAATGTTATTTTTCAGGGCATTATTATTTGCAGAAGCCTGAGGTCTTCCATTAACTGCCCGACGAAGGAGGGCATTTAAAAAGACCGAGGGCTTCTGCAATATGAAGGCATTATCAAATTACAGTGGCCCGCTCATTTCTGATAACATACGGGCCGTTTAATGATAATTCTATCCATTTTAGCTATAATACATGATATATCTACAAGCTACACAATCACTTCTAGTGAACATGTGGGGATGCTGGGTTGGAAAGCTTGCCAGCATCCTGTGCTTGTTGTGAGGCAACTAAATGGATCGGGCGGTCAGGCTCTGCGACATGGCTGATAGTGTCATCGTACCCTCATGGCTTGGGATGCTGCTCATAATATCAATCACTGGTTTGTTGGGGCCAACCTGATTATTCACAAGCTCTCATATTGCTTGAATAACAGTTTGGTGAACACAACAAACAAACATGAATACTCAGACATTCCTCTACTGCACACTGATAAGGCCCAGTAACAGTGCATGTGCTATGTGATGTTGAAATATTGCTGGTTAATGTGTAAACCATACTGACCTCTCTCACTAACACACAAGGAACCCTGCAAAAATTTAAACAAAGAAACATTTGGAGACATTGTTATTCCCAGGAAATCATGGACATATCCTTGTTCAGAAATAACATTAACAAATCTGAAGGACAAAAGCTGCTTGCTCTGCAGAAGCAGTACTGATCTCTTCACAATGATTTTGCAGCAGATCATCACTGTGCTGAAAGAACTGAAGCCAGGAGGAATTTTATGTCGTTTCAGCAGAGTTGAGTTATACAAGAGTTACCTCCCTTCTACCACCTGCCCAATATCATGCAAGACCATGCAATACCTTTTGAAGAAATTGGAAAAATTAATCCAAAATGTTATCAAATTATTAGTGTTTATCCAAATAGAATATCCTGCACCTTGTTACTGTAGTTTAAGGGTTCTCCAGATCCTGCATTGTGTTACTGTAGTTTAAGGGTTCTCCAGATCCTGCATTGTGTTACTGATGTACCCTGGTTCTCCAGATCCTGCACTGTGTTACTGTAGTTTAAGGGTTCCCCAGATCCTGCATTGTGTTACTGTAGTTTAAGGGTTCCCCAGATCCTGCATTGTGTTACTGATGTACCCTGGTTCCCCAGATCCTGCACTGTGTTACTGTAGTTTAAGGGTTCCCCAGATCCTGCATTGTGTTACTGTAGTTTAAGGGTTCTCCAGATCCTGCATTGTGTTACTGATGTACCCTGGTTCCCCAGATCCTGCACTGTGTTACTGATGTACCCTGGTTCTCCAGATCCTGCACTGTGTTACTGATGTACCCTGGTTCCCCGGATGCTGCACTGTGTTACTGATGTACCCTGGTTCCCCAGATCCTGCACTGTGTTACTGATGTACCCTGGTTCCCCAGATGCTGCACTGTGTTACTGATGTACCCTGGTTCCCCAGATCCTGCACTGTGTTACTGATGTACCCTGGTTCCCCAGATCCTGCATTGTGTTACTGTAGTTTAAGGGTTCCCCAGATCCTGCATTGTGTTACTGATGTACCCTGGTTCCCCAGATGCTGCACTGTGTTACTGATGTACCCTGGTTCCCCAGATCCTGCATTGTGTTACTGATGTACCCTGGATCTCCAGATCCTGCATTGTGTTACTGTAGTTTAAGGGTTCCCCAGATCCTGCATTGTGTTACTGATGTACCCTGGTTCTCCAGACCCTGCACTGTGTTAGTGATGTACCCTGGTTGCCCAGATCCTGCATTGTGTTACTGATGTACCCTGGATCTCCAGATCATGCACTGTGTTACTGTAGTTTAAGGGTTCTCCAGACCCTGCACTGTGTTACTGCAGTTTAAGGGTTCCCCAGATCCTGCATTGTGTTACTGATGTACCCTGGTTCTCCAGACCCTGCACTGTGTTAGTGATGTACCCTGGTTGCCCAGATCCTGCATTGTGTTACTGATGTACCCTGGATCTCCAGATCCTGCATTGTGTTACTGTAGTTTAAGGGTTCCCCAGATCCTGCATTGTGTTGCTGATGTACCCTGGTTCTCCAGATCCTGCACTGTGTTACTGTAGTTTAAGGGTTCCCCAGATCCTGCACTGTGTTGCTGCTGTTTCCCGGTTCTCCAGATCCTGCACTGTTACTGTTGTTTCCTGGTTCTCCAGATCCTGCACTGTGTTACTGTAGTTTAAGGGATCCCCAGATCCTGCACTGTGTTACTGTTGTTTCAGGGTTCTCCAGCAGGGTGGTGTACCCCAATGGCATATCCTGCAGTGTGTTACTGTTGTTTCAGGGTTCTCCAGCAGGGTGGTGTACCCCAATGGCATATCCTGCACTGTGTTACTGTTGTTTCAGGGTTCTCCAGCAGGGTGGTGTATCCCAATGGCATATCCTGCACTGTGTTACTGTTGTTTCAGGGTTCTTCAGCAGGGTGGTGTACCCCAATGGCATATCCTGCAGTGTGTTACTGTTGTTTCAGGGTTCTCCAGCAGGGTGGTGTACCCCAATGGCATATCCTGCAGTGTGTTACTGTTGTTTCAGGGTTCTCCAGCAGGGTGGTGTACCCCAATGGCATATCCTGCAGTGTGTTACTGTTGTTTCAGGGTTCTCCAGCAGGGTGGTGTACCCCAATGGCATATCCTGCAGTGTGTTACTGTTGTTTCAGGGTTCTCCGGCAGGGTGGTGTACCCCAATGGCATATCCTGCAGTGTGTTACTGTTGTTTCAGGGTTCTCCAGCAGGATGGTGTACCCCAGTGGCATATCCTGCAGTGTGTTACTGTTGTTTCAGGGTTCTCCAGCAGGGTGGTGTACCCCAATGGCATATCCTGCAGTGTGTTACTGTTGTTTCAGGGTTCTCCAGCAGGGTGGTGTACCCCAGTGGCATATCCTGCAGTGTGTTACTGTTGTTTCAGGGTTCTCCAGCAGGGTGGTGTACCCCAATGGCATATCCTGCAGTGTGTTACTGTTGTTTCAGGGTTCTCCAGCAGGGTGGTGTACCCCAGTGGCATATCCTGCAGTGTGTTACTGTTGTTTCAGGGTTCTCCAGCAGGGTGGTTTACCCCAATGGCATATCCTGCACTGTGTTACTGTTGTTTCAGGGTTCTCCAGCAGGGTGGTGTACCCCAATGGCATATCCTGCAGTGTGTTACTGTTGTTTCAGGGTTCTCCAGCAGGGTGGTGTATCCCAATGGCATATCCTGCAGTGTGTTACTGTTGTTTCAGGGTTCTCCAGCAGGGTGGTGTACCCCAATGGCATATCCTGCAGTGTATTACTGTTGTTTCAGGGTTCTCCAGCAGGGTGGTGTACCCCAATGGCATATCCTGCACGATGCCAGAGGAGCACCAAGTACGGCTTGTCCAAGCAATCCCAGGACTGGAAAAATGTGACATAGTGCAACCAGGTATGTAGTAACCATGTTTCAGTCCCGTGTTTCATTCCCGAGTTTCACTCTCTCAGGTCAATGGTTTACAATGTTTCAGTCCTGTTATCATGTTTCAGTCCTGTATGTTATCATGTTTCAGTCCTGTATGTTACCATGTTTCAGTCCTGTATGTTACTATGTTTCAGTCCTGTATGTTATCATGTTTCAGTCCTGTATGTTACCATGTTTCAGTCCTGTATGTTACCGTGTTTCAGTCCTGTATGTTACCATGGTATAGTCCTGTATGTTACCATGTTTCAGTCCAGTATGTTACCATGTTTCAGTCCTGTATGTTACCATGTGTCAGTCCTGTATGTTACCATGTGTCGGCCATGTATGTTACCATGGTACAGTCCTGTATGTTACCATGGTACAGTCCTGTATGTTACCATGTTTTAGTCCTATATGTTACCATGTTTTAGTCCTGTATGTTACCATGTATCAGTCCTGTATGTTACCATGTTTCAGTCCTGTATGTTACCATGTGTCAGTCCTGTATGTTACCATGTTTCAGTCCTGTATGTTACCATGTGTCAGTCTTGTATGTTACCATGTTTCAGTCCTGTATGTTACCATGGTACAGTCCTGTACGTTACCCTGTTTTAGTCCTGTATGTACCCTGTGTCAGTCCTGTATGTTACCCTGTTTCAGTCCTGTATGTTACCATGTTTCAGCCCTGTATGTTACCATGTTTCAGTCCAGTATGTTACCATGTGTCAGTCCTGTATGTTACCATGTTTCGGTCCTGTATGTTACCATGTTTCAGTCCTGTATGTTACCATGGTACAGTCCTGTACGTTACCATGTTTCAGTCCAGTATGTTACCATGTTTCAGTCCTGAATGTTACCATATTTCGGTCCAGTATGTTACCATGTTTCAGTCCTGTATGTTACCATGTTCCAGGTTATGGTGTAGAGTATGATTACATTGACCCCCGTCAGCTGAATCCCTCCCTCGAGACTCTTCTCATCCAGAACCTATTCCTGGCTGGCCAGATCAACGGAACAACAGGATACGAAGAGGCCGCAGCACAGGTGAGTGTTCTGCCCTGATATGAAGTGGATGCATCATAGGTGAGTGTTCTGATGTGAAGTGGATACGTCATAGGTGTTCTGCCCTGATTTGCAGTGGATAGATGACAGGTCAGTCGATGGAGAGGTGAGTGTTCTGATGTGAAGTGGCTAGATGTGAAGGTCGATCACAGCACAGGTTAGTGTTCTAATGTGAAGTGGCTAGATTGCAGGTCAACACTTCACAGGTGAGTGTTCTGCCCTAATTTGCAGTGGATAGATGACAGGTCAGTCGATGGAGAGGTGAGTGTTCTCCTGAATACATGACCCAGGGTACCCTGTAGTGTCCTAGACAACAGCCGTTTCCACAACAGTATTCTGTTAATTGTCCAATACTCTTCTACCTGTCTCTTCAAAGGGCATCATGGCAGGAATCAACGCTGCCCTGAAGGCTGAAGACAAGTCTGCCTTCACACTGGACCGGACTGAAGCATACATTGGCGTTCTGATTGATGACCTGACAACTCTTGGAACCAATGAACCATACCGAATGTTCACAAGCCGAGCCGAGTTCCGCCTTGCACTCCGGCCAGATAATGCTGACACCAGGCTCACAAGCAAAGGTGATCTCTGGAATATTGTTGGACTGAATGCGTGAGTGAATGTGAGTGTGTCATGAGGTTGGTGAGTGAGTGAGTCATTGGGTTGGTGAGTGAGACAGTTGTTGTTTTGGTGAGTGGTTGTATTGGTGGTTGAGTCTGGGGTGAGTGAGTGAGTCTGGGGTGAGTGAGTGGTTCTGTGATCAGCATCATTTCATTTGTCTGAGATTTAACCATGTCTGCTTGAAAGAATCTTTTCAAGTCTTCTTCCAAGAAACAGCAAGGCCAATTAATCTGAAACATTGCTCATGCAAGTAAATATTTCAAAATAAAAAATTAATAGGAAAATCTTATCAAATCCTCTCCTCAGAATGTAAAAGACCCTGAGATCTGAAACTTTTTAAAGATGAGTATGACCATATTAATACTCATGTATTCATGGCGCAGAATTGTAAAAATAAGACATATATTGTAGAATTGAAAAAAATGTATCTTTAAATGTTAGATTATCATCTTCTCAAAAGTCAAAAAGCTCAGAGATTAAAGTAGGATATGTATAATTTGTATCTACATGTGACTGGTATAATCTCCCGTGGCAACAGCGTGTCATCATACTGACAGCAAGGATCGTTGCTCACAATATCAATCACTGGATTGTCTGATCAGGACTCAATTATTTACAGGCCGCCATCATCTAGCTGTAATATTGCTGGTGTGGTGTTAAACAACAAACATAAGATAGATACGAGATACATCGCAATGAAGAACGAAGCGTGGTTTATTTCACGATAAAACATTGTTCTATCAAGACATCATTTCTGGAGATTCGAACATGCGCTTGCAACTCGATGACATCGTAAATTGGACAATGTCATTTTTTAGAGGGAGGTGTCTATTGAGTTGTTCCCCATAGATGTAGAATGGCAATGTGGATATACTCAATGGCTGAAGGATCGCATCCAAAAGTGGAAGAGATATGACAATCGGTATTGGGAGAAAAGGTACAGAGAATCGATGTGAGAATTGTAAGAATATGCAGGAAATACCAAACTTAGCTCACCTGTTCGTAAAATGGACTTGTCTGACATTTCCAAGGTCAGATTCTGTTCAGACAGTCATCATTATTAAAATTTGGTAAATATTTTAAAGCTTGTACATTTTATCAACATCCTTAAAGAGGCTGTACATAATGTTGATATCTCATATACAAAATAAATGACTCGTGGACATTGTTTATCATACAATAATTAAATTTCCGTTTTCGAAATTCCTGCATTCTGATTAGCTGAATTGGTCACGTGTTATTGCATTCATTTCCCAATGACTTAAAAAATTAAGCCACGCCCACTGAAGCGGACTACTTTAATTTCGAATGTCGGGGAGTCCCAATTTACAGTCAAGGGAATTCCCTTTCTGCTCACGTGTTTTGTCATGCACAGACATTTAGTGAAATTCATGCATATTCATTGTCCAAACAACCCTTTGAGACCGAAGGCCGAGAAGGAATGAAACAGCAAACGTGCAGGCTCGCTCGTCTGTTTTTTGTTCCAGCTTGACTCGGTTCCACAACTTTCATGTTCTTGGGTTTCATTTCTAACTAGCATTTTTCCAACTGTGTCTTCCCGTTCTCATGGACCTAATGTTTGAATCTGGCAGTAACTGACCATGTCATTTGAAACAGCTGCCTTCTCCAGGACTATATTTGTTCCGGCTTGCCACAGTCTGACTTTTGCTGTGTGAATATTGTTTTGATCTTACACTCCGTTGATTGGCTACTGACTTTGTGGGTGTGTCAAGTTATGTGCATAAATTAAACAATCACCTGATTCATGTCACACCACAGTATGTATTCCTACATCTGGAATGTTTATCAATCTCGTCATTTTTGTATGCTTTCACATTCAGCTGTTTTTGGTTAAACTGTTGTAGATAAAACATGTTTTCGTTGTCGAATTTAATTATAGGCATTGACTGTGTATTTTTTTCAGTTCATTGAGGTATGAATCGAAAATTCGATGTGCAAACTTTTGTAAGAATTTGCTTGGCGGATTCATACAGTTCAATGAACCGAAAAAAATACAGTCAATACTTAAATAAAACACTGCAGGGAAAAAAAAACACTACCCACTTGTCGTTTATTTCTTCAATAAACAAACAAATCAACAAACATGTATACACTCATTGCTTGTATACACTGAAGTCACCACTGTAGTTGTTCCTGCAGGTTACGAGGTTGGCTGTGTCAGAGAGGTCAGGTTCCGGAAGTCGGAAGCATCACGTCATGAGTTGGAGGAAGCTGTAGCAGTGCTGTCGTCCCTGACGATGACCTTGGCACGTTGGTTCCAGCTCCTCAACCTGCCGTCCACAAACAACAGGAACACCAAAAAGTAACAATGTTGTCCGTGGAATTCTTAAACTGGAAGGCGATCAGTGTTTTAGCTTGTTCTCAACTATAACAGGAATGTTTATTATTTTGAACGTGCCATTATCATAGGTTTGTATCCCGGTTCGCTCCCAATGTTTCTAGGTTTGTCAGCACCGTACCTGTGCTCATGGGTTCCACCAAGTGGTAAACGTCTGAGACCTGCATCACTTCGGGCTTTTCTCCCACATTAGGCTGACATACCATGATATAACCGGCTTCCTGAGGCAAGGGTGTTGAAGTCCAGTTTCCATCCTTACCGAACTATGCTGGAATTCTGTGCCTCAATCGTAGCAGCACCAGTGGCCATTACGAGTTATGTTCCCTCCATGTCCCTTCTATTGACCAATCCGATTGCATCTCTAATGTCACTTGCATTTTCTTCAAACAAAATAGCAGCACTCAGTCAAGATATTGATAATCAAGATCTATCTATTGCAATAAAATGGGCCTTACCTCGCGAAGTGTATCACATTATTTGAGCACCTTGATTAAAAACATAATTTTTTTTCTGTCAACGCCCAGTTTACGGTACACTTGCTTTGCAAATCCTGCAGTCAATAGAAATAGAAATCCATGTTGTTTACGAAACAGATGTCTAGTTTGTTGCATATACTATGCATAGACTCCAGCCAAAATATAACTCTGGAATTACAGCCTAGCTCGGCAAGGGTGGAAACTGGACTTTTACAGTCAGTTAACTCCCTTGCCTCAGAAAGATTTGATATAACTGGAATACCGTTAAAGCGACATTAAACCCAACTCACTCACCCTATAATGAACTTGCTAAGACATGCATTGCTTCTGGCCTTCATCCACCATCAAGCTGCACAATGTTATATATCTGAAATACTGTTTGAAGTGTCATTAAACCCAACTCACTCACTCACTCACTCACTCACTCACTCACTCACTCACTCACTCACTCACTCACTCACTCACTCACTCACTCACCAAACCCACCAAACCCACCAAACCACCAACCCACCAACCCACCCACTCGCTCGCCTGCCCGCCTGCCCGCCCGCCCGCCCATTACAACGGTATGTGTCCTGTGTCTATAACCAACCAAGTCTGACACTGTGGCCTAGTAGATAGAGCATCTGCTCGTAGACAGGAAAGGTCAATGGTTCAATCCCTGTCTGCGTAATTCCAAAAGACGTTAAGAGGTGGTACATGCAATTAACAAGGATATTTGTTGTTTAACGATTTTATATGATGGCGGTCTGTAAATATGAGTCTGGACCAGACAATCCCGTGATTAACATCATTAGCATCGATTCCCGTTACTGGGATATGATAACATGAATCAACCAAAAGGCGAGCAGGAACACAGTACTCCATGATCATTTTTTTTGTATCATCATGTTGTATAAAATAAAAGCATGGGTGACATAGTTTAAATTTTGAGTTTTCGAAACATTTGTTTTTCATTTTTTCTTCCTTAGTATGTTCCCATGAAAACAGCATGTTGATTTTGGAAATACCTTTGACCGAGACTGGCCACAGCATGGAGAGTTTCTGGACAAATGCGTTTCCAGAATTAAAATGGGACGTGTTAAATACTATATATCCATATTCAGGGGTCAGGGTTGAGGTCAGGGTGATACAATTATCAAGACTTTCACTGCAGTCTTTGTATGTAGAACTTTTTCTCGCGTACAGTTTCTGTTCTGGGTGATATGACAAAGGTCAATGATATGCCCCTCACTCACAGCCTCAAAGACCCAGCTGGCAATATATGTGTGTCATGTATTTTTTATTTGTTTGCTGTTTAACGCCGCACTCAGCAATATTCTAGCTATATGACGGCAGTCTGTAAATAATCGAGTCTGGATCAGAAAAAACAGTTATTGACATCATGAGCATCAATCTTTGCAATTTGGATACGATGACATGCATCAACCAAGTCAGCGAGTCTGACCACCCGATCCTGTTAGTAGCCTTTTATGTCAAGCATGGGTTGCAGATGACCTAGTCTATTCCATGATCTTCATGGGTCTAGCAAGGACTGGTCGGCTCAGAGTCAGTATACTGTGTCTGAGTGGGGTATTCATGTCATACTATGGCATAGCATCTCAGTGGTCTAACACTAGAAAACTGGCATTATAGCCACACACGTGCATGCATGTCACATATAAGTGCAATCATCTTGAGTGCGTCATTAAGCCCCATTCACCTTACCTTGTAACCAATGTTGCTATTGTGTGCAGTGGTGTTGATCTCCTGAGTCTGCCCTACATCACAGTGGAGCAGCTGATCCAGGTGTTCCCGGAGGTCCTTGGCTTCTTGCATGATGACACCAAGCTGAAAGAGAGGCTAAAGACAGAAGGTAGTGTACAATTAGGAGCACAGCCTGATCCTACTGTAGATATTTTGTACCTAGTAGTCTCCTCTGATCCCCGATGCATTATTTGCCCCTCTGATCCCTGATGCATGATTTATCCCTCTGATTCCTGATGCATTATTTGCCCCTCTGATCCCTGATGCATCATTTGTCCCTCTGATCCCAAATGCATTATTTGTCCCTCTGATCCCCAATGCATTATTTGTCCCTTAGATCCCCAGTGTATTATATTCTCCTCTGATCCCCAATGCATTATTTGTCCCTCTGATCCCTGATGCATTATTTGTCCCTCTGATCCCTGATGCATCATTTGTCCCTCTGATCCCCAATGCATTATTTGTCCCTCTGATCCCTGATGCATTATTTGTCCCTCTGATCCCCAATGCATTATTTGTCCCTCTGATCCCCAGTGCAATATTTGTCCCTCTGATCCCCAATGCATTATTTGTCCCTCTGATCCCCAGTGCATTATTTGTCCCTCTGATCCCCAATGCATTATTTGTCCCTCAGATCCCCAATGCATTATTTGTCCCTCTGATCCCCAATGCATTATTTGTCCCTCTGATTCCCGATGCATTATTTGTCCCTCTGATCCCCAATGCATTATTTGTCCCTCAGATCCCTGATGCATTATTTGTCCATCAGATCCCCAGTGCATTATATTCTCCTCTGATCCCCGATGCATTATTTGTCCCTCTGATCCCTGATGCATTATTTGTCCATCAGATCCCCAGTGCATTATATTCTCCTCTGATCCCCGATGCATTATTTGCCCCTCTGATCCCTGATGCATTATTTGTCCATCGGACCCCCGGTGCATTATATTCTCCTCTGAACCCCGATGCATTATTTGTCCCTCTGATCCCTGATGCATTATTTGTCCATCAGATCCCCAATGCATTATATTCTCCTCTGATCCCCGATGCATTATTTGCCTCTCTGATCCCTGATGTATCATTTGTCCCTCTGATTCCCGATGCATAATTTGCACCTCTGATCCCCAATGCATTATTTGACCCTCTGATCCCTCATGCATCCTTTGTCCCTCTGATTCCCGATGCATTATTTGTCCCTCTGATCCCCAATGCATTATTTGCCCCTCTGATCCAAACTGGATTATTTGTCACTCTGATCCCCAATGCATTATTTGCCCCTCTGATCCACACTGCATTATTTGTCCCCTGATCCCCAATTGATTATTTGCCCCTCTGATCCACACTGCATTTTTTGTCACTCTGATCCCCAATGCATTATTTGTCACTCTGATCCCCAATGCATTATTTGTCACTCTGATCCACACTGCATTATTTGTCTCCTGATCCCCAATGCACTATTTGTCCCTCTGATCCCCGATGTATTATTTGTCCCTCTGACCCCAATGCCTTATATGTCACTCTGACCCCAATGCCTTATATGTCACTCTGACCCCAATGCCTTATATGTCACTCTGACCCCCAATGCCTTATATGTCACTCTGACCCCAATGCCTTATATGTCACTCTGACCCCAATGCCTTATATGTCACTCTGACCCCCAATGCCTTATATGTCACTCGACCCCAATACATTACTTGTCCCCTGATCCCCAATGCATTATTTGCCCCTCTGACCCCAATCTGATCTGACTTTAACATGGTGCCCATGGTCAAAGACATAATTCTGAGCTGGTTTCTCTCTGATCCCTGATGCATTATTTGTCACTCTGACCCAATGCATTATTTTCCAGCTATATATGTGAATGAGCTGAAGGACCAGCTGGAGGAGATGGAGGAGGTCAGGCAGGATGAGGAACTCCTCCTGCCAGACGATCTCGACTATGATAGGTCAGTTATCTCCCTTGTTCGTATATCAGTGCCAGTAGGCCAACTGTGTATAAATTCTTATTCAGATATCATGTCATCTTAATGTCTAGAACCTAAGTTACTGTTCAATTCAATCACTTAATTCTGTTAATCATACAGCCAGATGCTAATCCCAAAGAGGGTTATGGGTGACCCAGTCATCTAAGGTGCCCCTTTTGCAGAGTTACCATCCCTTGGGCATGCGGGAAATGTATGATTGTGGTTTCGAATCTCAGTTTGTCTGATTATGTTTCTAGGTTTGTCAGCACCATACCTGTGCTCATGGGTTTCACCAAAGTAGTAAACATCTGAGACCTGCATCACTTCGGGATTTCCTCCCACATTAATCTAACATGCCATGATATAACTGGAATACTGTTTAAAGCGGCATTAAATCCAACTCACCCTGTAATGAGCTTGCTCTCTTAATCAAATATCCATGAAGTGCAATGTCCTGTACCTCTGCTGTCAGCCATCCTCAACAAGCTTGGCAACTATATCACTTTAGTTTCAAGGAAGTTAAAAATGATTTAATGGTGATGTGACCATGACTAAAATAGCCAGATCCAGATTGAGTTTATAGAAAGAGAGAGGTCATATCTCTCCCTTTGCTTTGATAGGGGTACCACCATGATGTGATTGCGTGGCACAATGAATCTTCCCTAGGCAAGGGCGGTAACTTACTGTAAAAGTCCAGTTTCCACCCATGCCGAACTAGCCTGGAATTCCAGAGTTATATTTTGGCTGGACTAATGAGCCTATGCATATTCCGATCAAAATCATGCAACAAACCAGACATCCGGTTCATAAACATCATGGATTTCAACATACAGATTTCCATCAACTGCAGGATTTGCAAAGCATGTGTAATGCCAACTGGGCGTCGACAAATATTTTCCAAATCTTTTCATGTTTTTAGTCAAGGTGCTCAAATGATTTTTACACTTCGCAAGGTTAGACCATTTTGTTACAGTAGATAGATCTTGATTATTGATCAAATCATCTTGACTGGGTGCTGCCATTTTGTTTGAAGCAAATGCAAGTGATATGAGAGGTGGGTTTCGATTGGTCAATAGGAGGCAGATAGAAGTGACATAACTCGTAATAGCCTCTGGTGGTGCCACGATCGAGCCATGAAATTCCAGCATAGTTCGGCAAGGGTGGTAACTGGACTCTTGTAGTCAGTTAACGCCCTTGCCTCAGGAAGATGGGCACAATGTTGTTATTGTATGAGATCTATCCTTCTGGGATGCTGCAGTCTCTCCATCCTTTGAACCATGCGACATATTACGTTCGCATATTAATAATGAGAAGCATAAACATGATTGTTTATTGTGGTACAATCAGGATACACCCGAATCTAACCAATCTCATTAAAATCAGATCTAAGTTCTCGCTGCTGCTAATCAAAGATCTGAGGACATCCCCATTACGGGTCACGTCAGACCAACCTTGCGCGAACTTTGACTGACCAATGGAATGACCAATCAGAAGGAAGTTTTCTCGTGCTTTACATCACTAATTTCAAATTGGCGACTACGCTTTCAAAACATATTTTGACAAATTCTCGATTAAAAATTTGAAACCTGAACAAAAGAACATTCTGGAATCGCTAATAGAGGGTTTAGATTGTATGGATTCAGTCGTTAAACCCGTAACTATCGTTCGGAATACCCCGTATTAAAGTTTTCGAGGATGCATGATTAGAAATCACATTCCAACTGTCACTTTCATGATCTGGTAGGCGACACTCTGAAGAAAGGTCGTTCTGACGTAACCCCAACTGGGGTGTCCTCAGATCTTTGTTTAGCGATAGCGAGAACGAAATTTGATTTTAATGAGATTAAAATCTAACTATCTGTGATGGTGTGTGGCTTTTCAAATGATGTAAAACCCTGACAGGAATTTGTATCGATTGTGACCACATATATTTGACCCTCTGTTTCAGTTTGTGCATTTCAACAGACGCCAAGAGCAAACTCGCAGAAGCCCGGCCAGCTACTGTAAGTTTATATCAAAATAACTGATGAGGTGAAATGGGTTTTAAATGACATGTTCAACAGCACTGAGGTGAAATGGTGATTTGTCTCCACGATCAATATTATTTCACTCATATGGCGTTTGGTGAAATGGGGTTTAAAAGATATTTCACTTATAATGCAGTGAAGAGAAATGGGTTTAACTTTGCGTCCATTGAGGCGGTCTGAATGACAGTAGACATGAATAAATGTGTAGATTCATACTTTATCAAGTGAGTGAGTATGGTTTTACGCCGCTTTTAGGAATATTCCAGCAATATCACGGCGGGGGCACCAGAAATGGACTTCACACATTGTACCCATGTCGGGAATCGAACCCGGGTCTTTGGCGTGACGAGCGAATGCTTTAACCACTAGGCTACCCGACCGCCCCTCATACTTTATCATAAATCACTATATGAAATTTATGAGTGATTGCCTTTAGATTGGCCATCAGGCTTTCATCCGAAATGTTCCAGATTGCCTCTGCTAGCAGAATACCAGGAATGACACCAGCAGCCATCTTGATTCTTCTGCGACATGTTAAAAGAAGAACCCAAATCAAGGTCAAGGACAGCAAGATGGCTTCTCAACCTGCAACAGAAGATCTTTCATAAACATCACTTTGGTGCCAGGAAGTCAACAATTCTTTGTTTGACAATAAAAGCAGATTCCTGAGGTCAAACTATGGTTGCATGTTCAGGACTGGTTCCTACGTGGTATCTATTGATATCTGTGTCTCAAATCCTCATCTATTCCCTACATGATTAACCTTGTACTTGAATTCTGACTCTGAGCAGGGCCTACTTGCACAAATCGATCTTAGTGCTAAGATGATCGTAACTCCCATACTTTAACATAGGCTTACAATAGTCGTAACGCTAAGATCGCTTTGTGCAAGTGGGCCGAGGTCCCCAATACTCTGTCATGAGAGGCAACTAAGTTGGATCAGAAACAACTGATTGAATCTCATGGTACCTGTATGTGTGTGTGTTTGTGTGAGTGGCTGCTTGCACTAGTCCAGACTAATGCTAAATCTATAGTGCTAGCCCACTGAGATACTGGCTCCAAGCTGAGCCGACTTTGTTTCATCCCCTAAATGCTGAGCACCAGGAAGGGTAACAGCAACTACATATACCATCTTTTAGTGTGTTTTGGTATGACACAGGCAGGTATCGAACCACTGACCAGCTGCTCTCCGGGCTGAGACGCTCTATCCACTAGGCCTCGGAGGCAATCTGACTGCAGTGGATGTGGCTCATGATATCAATCACTGGTTTGTCTGGCATAGACTCTATTTTGTACTGGGCTGATCGGATATTGCTGAAAATTGCTGTCTGCAGTGTAAAATAACAAACAAGTAAAGATGCTTAGCTATACACCATCCAGAGACTTCCAAACATAATTATTAGTGCGTTTGTATTAAGAAACTTTTCTTATTGGGTGGATATGTTCTACCCAATGGCTGTATAAGTACCACGAAAACTATTACTTTCATGTTTTTGATTGTTTTGAAAAAAACATGTGAATATTTTTAGTGATGTGTTTTATTTTGTAAATAATTTTAGAACAAAATACACTGTACATTGTCACTTCAGTTGTCATGTTGTATTTCCCAACAACCACATGTTGATTCTGGGTTAGAATAGATCCCCAGCAACATAACTTGGTTGTGGGATTCCTGGTTAGAATAGGTCTCCAGCAACATACCTCAGTCATGGGATTCTGGGTTAGAATAGATCCCTGGCAACATAACCTGGTCATGGGGGATTTCAGGTTAGAATAGGTCTCCAGCAACATAACTTGGTTGTGGTATTCCGGGTAAGAAAAGGTCCCCAACAACATAACCTGGTCGGGGGGGATTTCGGGTTAAAATAGATCCCCAGCAACATAGCTCTGTCATGGGATTCTGGGTAAGAATAGGTCTCCAGCAACATAACCTGGTTGTGGGGGATTTCGGGTTAAAATAGATCCCCAGCAACATAACTTGGTTGTGGGATTCCGGGTTAGAATAGGTCCCCGGCAACATAACCTGGTCGTTGGATTCTGGGTAAGAATAGGTCTCCAGCAACATAGCTTGGTTGTGGGATTCTGTGTTAGAATAGGTCCCTGGCAACATAACCTGGTCGTGGGATTCTGGGTTAGAATAGGTCTCCAGCAACATAACTTGGTTGTGGGATTCTGGGTAAGAATAGGTCTCCAGCAACATAACCTGGTCGTGGGGGATTTCGGGTTAGAATAGATCCCCAGCAACATAACTTGGTTGTGGGATTCCTGGTTAGAATAGGTCTCCAGCAACATACCTCAGTCATGGGATTCTGGGTAAGAATAGATCCCTGGCAACATAACCTGGTCATGGGGGATTTCGGGTTAGAATAGGTCTCCAGCAACATAACTTGGTTGTGGTATTCCGGGTAAGAAAAGGTCCCAAACAACATAACCTGGTCGGGGGGGATTTCGGGTTAAAATAGATCCCCAGCAACATAGCTCTGTCATGGGATTCTGGGTAAGAATAGGTCTCCAGCAACATAACCTGGTTGTGGGGGATTTCGGGTTAAAATAGATCCCCAGCAACATAACTTGGTTGTGGGATTCCGGGTTAGAATAGGTCCCCAGCAACATAACCTGGTCGTGGGATTCTGGGTTAGAATAGGTCTCCAGCAACATAACTTGGTTGTGGGATTCTGGGTAAGAAAAGGTCTCCAGCAACATAACCTGGTCGTGGGGGATTTCGGGTTAGAATAGATCCCCAGCAGCATAACTTGGTTGTGGGATTCCAGGTTAGAATAGGTCTCCAGAAACATACCTCGGTCATGGGATTCTGGGTAAGAATAGGTCCCCGGCAACATAACCTGGTCGTGGGGGATTTCGGGTTAGAATAGGTCTCCAGCAACATAACTTGGTTGTGGGATTCTGGGTAAGAATAGGTCTCAAGCAACATAACCTGGTCGTGGGGGATTTCGGGTAAGAATAGATCCCCAGCAACATAGCTCTGTCATGGGATTCTGGGTAAGAATAGGTCTCCAGCAACATAACCTGGTTGTGGGGGATTTCGGGTTAAAATAGATCCCCAGCAACATAACTTGGTTGTGGGATTCTGGGTAAGAATAAGTCTCCAGCAACATAACTTGGTCGTGGGATTCTGTGTTAGAATAGGTCCCCAGCAACATAACCTGGTCGTGGGATTCCGGGTAAGAATAGGTCTCCAGCAACATAACTTGGTCGTGGGATTCTGTGTTGGAATAGGTCCCCGGCAACATAACCTGGTCGTTGGATTCTGGGTTAGAATAGGTCTCCAGCAACATAGCTTGGTTGTGGGATTCCGGGTTAGAATAGGTCCCCAGCAACATAACCTGGTTGTGGGATTCTGGGTTAGAATAGGTCCCTGGCAACATAACCTGGTCGTGGGATTCTGGGTTAGAATAGGTCTCCAGCAACATAACTTGGTTGTGGGATTCTGGGTAAGAATAAGTCTCCAGCAACATAACTTGGTCGTGGGATTCTGTGTTAGAATAGGTCCCCAGCAACATAACCTGGTCGTGGGATTCTGGGTTAGAATAGGTCCCCAGCAACATAACTTGGTTGTGGGATTCCGGGTAAGAATAGGTCTCCAGCAACATACCTCAGTCATGGGGAATCTGGGTTAGAATATGCCTCCAGCAACATATGATGGTTGTCGGGATTCTGGTTGAAAATAGGTCCCTGGCAACATATGCTGGTCGTGGGGATTCCGGGTTAGAATAGGTCCCCATCAGTGTATGCTGGTCATGGGGACTCCGGATTAGAATAGATCCCTGGCAACTTAACCTGGTCATAGGGTATTCCGGGTTAGAATAGGTCCCTGGCAGCGCATTGCTGGTGGTCGGGATTCCTGGTTAGAGTAGATCCCTAATAGCATATGCTGGTCGTCGGGATTCCTGGTTAGAGTAAGTCCCCCAAAACATATGCTGGTCATGGGGGTTCCAGGTTAGTGAGTGAGTGAGTATGGTTTTACGCCGCTTTTAGCAATATTCCAGCAATATCACGGCGGGGGACACCAGAAATGGGCTTCACACATTGTACCCATGTCGGGAACCGAACGCGGGTCTTCTGCGTGACGATCGAATCCAGGTTAGAATAGGTCCCCAAAAACATTTGCTGGTCGTGGGGGTTCCAGGTTAGAGGAGGTCCCCAATAACATATGCTGGTCGTGGGGGTTCCAGGTTAGAATTGGTCCACAAAAACATATGCTGGTCGTGGGGGTTCCAGGTTAGAATAGGTCCCCGACAGTGTATGCTGGTCAATCAGAGAGCAGTGAGTTTGGTTTACTGGAACATTATTTCAGTCACATCACTGCTTAATTGAGATTACCAATTTGGTAAAAAACACGAGCTCTCGTGGCGCTGACAAACCTAGAAACATAATCAGGATGAATCTGGCATTCGAACTAACGATTATTGGACAACACCAGGAGGAAACCAACTCAAGCATCCAGTATGGTTGGCAGAAGTGTGTGGACCTGGGAGTGGATTATGTTGAAAAATAATTACCAACCAACTCAATCATAGTTAGTGTCAACTTTTCACATCCGCAAGACTTCAAGTCAGATGCCTGTTGGCATAACCATCGTATTTGCCATACATGTCCAATAGCCGAACGTGAGATTGAATGACATCAACAATCTTCAGATAAGACGTCATTTCTAATGTGACGACTTTACGTCACAATAAGATTCGAATGACGAAAACAATACAGTGGTGCGCGTAAAGTGATGTTTGCACCAGTGCAAGTTGGATTTTTATGAACTCGGTTATTTCTAATACTGTCTATGGGTAATAATTCATTTATGTGTCATCGTAGTAACCAAATACCTTACAAAGTAATGTGTTCTTGAAAACAGCGTTACCAAACGTAGAGATGTCCCCTGCCACCAGGCGAGCTAAAGCGGATTAAGTTTGTGTAGATAAGAGAACTGTAACCAATACCGGGATTATGGGGGTCGACGTCCATAAACCATGATAAGTATCATATGCTCGGAATTAAGATTGTGTTATGCAGGAGTGAGTGAGTTGGGTTTTACGCCGCTTTTAACAGTATTCCAGTTATATCACGGCGTGTCAGCTTAATGTGGGAGGAAAGCCCGAAGTGATGCAGGTCTCAGACGTTTACCACTTCGGTGAAACCCACGAGCACTGGTATGGTATGGGTATGTCCTTCGTGTATTTGGTTAGACGGTATTCAACTTAAACCGTCTTCTATTAATCATGGTTTTGGAATATGCATAGACATGCCAATACGGGCCAAGATGACAGAAAGTCGACCTATGTCAGGATAATATGAAAACACCCAAATAATATAAAAAGATGCTATGTATGGGATAACACTTTCTTAGTAAAGTACAGATTCTATTACTTTTCTATTACCCATCCGGGATTCGAACCCACACTGCCAGAGTGAGGCACCTGATCACCAGCACACAAAGTCAGAGGTATAACCCACTCAGCCATCGAGGTTTCCACTGAGAAAAGTGTTATACACTGTACCAAATATAACATTTGTTACATTTGACCACTTTCTAAATGGCATTGTGTGTTCGTGCCCATATAATAACATAGAAAACAGACTCCTAGATGCAAAGTACCCATGAAGGGAAATGAACCCGGGTCTTCGGTGAGACGAGCCATCACTATAACCACCAGTCTACCTAACACCCAGCGTTTGTGTTTTCCATCACATTCCAGAATACTTTAGGCAGTGATTAAATGTGAGCGAGTGAGTGAGTTGGGTTTAGCGCCGCTTTTAACAGTATTCCAGTTATATCACGGCGTGTCAGCTTAATGTGGGAGGAAAGCCCGAAATGATGCAGGTCTCAGACGTTTACCACTTCGGTGAAACCCACAAGCACGGGTATGGTGCTGACAAACCTAGAAACATAATCGGGGCGAGCCGGGATTCGAATCCACAATCATAGGTTTCTGGTGTGCCCAAGGGACGCAACTCTGCACAGCGAATCGCGGCGCCTTAAACGACTGGGCCACCCGTGCCCCCTGTATTATGCGAGCCTTTGGTGGGCACAGTATATAATTTCTTATTCCTGATATATGTTTTTAAACTAATTGATGTTTTTGACGTATATTTAATCAATAATGTAACTTTAGAAACCGCGTATGAATACAATGTGTGAGTGAACTGCCCCATTTTTCATATAGTCCAAAATCATTTACATCCATGTTTGTCTAAAGAAACATTTTTAGCGATCTGATATGATTTGATTAACTTTCAATGTTGAATACATGTACGTTGTATAAACACAGTCATCATATTCCATTTTATTTTGAAATGTACTTTAAATAGACCATAATGGCAAATTTTCACCAACATTCCACAGTCTTTCTTTCTTTCTTGTTTAACGCCGCACTCAGCAATATTCAAACCACATGACGGCGGTCTGGACCAGACACATTCCACAATTAAAATATATTTTCTTCGGTAAATGCATGACAGCGGCTCATTTTTATATTTTATTACATGATGTGCAGAATACATTATGTCCCTAGACTTGTTTTATGTTAGAGCAAAGCATAATAAAGGCAGAGAGCTAGATTTTCAGTACACGTTCCGCTTCTTGTGGCCCAAAAAGATAAACGTTATTCTTACTGGGATTAAGGCAATATGTGTCTTGTATATAGTTTTTACTTAACTGTTTATATGCAGATCAAAGTAGTAGGAAGTGATATCCGTCCTCTATATAACTATAATTAAAACATTTACATAATCGATCACTTTGTGGTACATTAACATATCTTCTAGTTTCAATACGCATTTAGCGGAAAACACAATGAAATTGTGCCAGGGCCGCTTTTACTTTCTTGACAGCCATACAGTTGAGGTTCACCTATATATAGCTATGTATGTATACAAAGAGCAATCTGACATCCCCTTTCAGGTCAGCTATGTTCGGTGGTGACGTGTTCACTATTAGCAATGGCGGCGACGAACAGATCGTTCGGGTCTGCGGATTATGCTGTTTTTGTTATATCTCTGGTGATGTCAGCTGGTATTGGCATATTCTATGCCTTCAAAGGGGGGCGACAGAAAACGACAGGAGAGTTCTTGATGGGAAACAGAGATCTGCAAATACTGCCGGCATCAGTGTCAATTCTGGTGTCCTTCCTCTCGGCGATCACCATCCTAGGCACAGCGGCAGAGATGTATACCAATGGAACGGAGTACTTCCTATACGTGTTTGGAATGGTCTTTGGTATCATCCTGGCAACCGTGTTGTACATCCCCTTGTTCTACCCACATGGCTTTACAAGTTCTTTTGAGGTTTGAGATTAAATCGTTTTCCACTATTTCGTCGACGGTTACATGGTATTCATACTTGTGTCGTTTGTATATCGTTTTTACAGCGGAAGCATGTTGTTTAACGCTGAGGAGTGACCTTTGCCTGTAAGTGACGACGGAGAGGATCGGTTGACCAGGTCCGTGACGTGGTAGATTGCGTGTCATCATGCGCAGCGGCGTTGGACATTGCTCTTAATATCTATCACTGGTTTGTTTGGTCCAGACTCGCTTATTAACAGCCGCTGTCATAAAGCGGCGTACAACATGCATTAATAAAGTCTTGTTACACAAACTATTGGACTGTCAGCAAAAACATTTAAGACCGTAATGCTAGCTACAGGGTCATAAAACAATATTCATTCGCACACTTATCAAACAGGATTCGACCTTCTTTGCAGTATTTGGAGAAGAGGTTCAAGTCTAGAGCGGCCAAACTAACCGGCACTGCTATAACTATATTCCAACAGGTATGTACACTGTCAAAAACAATCTTCACGCGTCAAGTTGTAGGTGAGGTGAGGTGAGGTGAAATGGGGTTTAACGTCGCGTCCAAGATTATTGCACTTATATAGCGACGTGCATGTACGTGTGTGTGTGTTTGTGTGGCTGCTTGTACTAGGCCGGACTGATGCCGATTTATAGTGCTAGCTCACTGAGATACCATGCCGCAGTTTAACATGAATACCCCACTCAGACACAGTATACTGACTCCGAGCCGACCAGTCCTTGTTTTAGCCCCTTAATGCCGAACGCCAGACAGGGTAACAACAAGTACCATCTTTTAACGTCTTTTGGTATGACGCGGCCGGGGATCGAACCCCGGACCTTCCCCTCTCCGGGCGGACGCTCTACCACTAGACCACGGAGGCGGTCTCAAGTTGTAGGCTTATAAAGGGGATAATACGGTACGCTTGATTTAACCTCAGTGGCCGAAAGGAAAGTGGTGCACGGTCACACAAAGGGTACATCAAACCGTATTGCCCGAGCGATAATGCCACAAAGAAATACTCTTACCACCACATTACCGGGTGAGAATGGTTAATGTTTAGGCTCTGGGCATAACGTGCATCATGAGTCAACGTCTATGTACATAACGCTACGTCGTACATGTCGCCGTAAAGAGCTTAAATTGTCGGGATTCCAGGGATCGGATAGAGTTCGGCATATATCTGTTACCATGACTGCAGGTTAATTTTTCTTCCAGGTGTACACTGCTGTAGCGGGGTATATGGAAATTTATAAAAGCATTATTGACCAATAAAATTCAAGTAAGAGGCGACTAACTGCATCGTGCGTAGATCAATATTCATGATGTCAATCTTTGTATTGTCAGGTCCAGGGCCCCGTTCCACAAAACAACCTTAGCGCTAAGACGATCGCAAACGGGATTGCCTAAAAGTCGGGCCAAGAAAAGTCGGGCCGGGCCGGGCCAGCGGGTAATACTAAAAATGGATTGCAGAATAATAAAACGAAACGCGCATATCTAGGCAGATCTCAAATGTCCACAAACGTATAGTTTTGCTCATTTAATTGAGTTTGAATAAAAATGCACCTTCAACAATGTAATTAACTGATGATTATGACTACATACCGTGAGTCTCGTAGAAAAGTCAGCGTCTTGACTGTGTATTCTTTGATTAGAATGCTTCTCACCGACCTTAGTCGTGTAGGGGTGTGATGTCCTGGGCAGGAAACGACAGTGTTTTGACTACTCTTCTTTCATTAATTAACGTGTTTAGGTAATTAACCTTTACTAATTCGTGTTAAACCAACACAGGATGTTTTCTGGAAATGGATATTCTCGAATGTCAAAAGACTGACACGACACGTGTTAATAACTGTCCAAGCACTTCTAAAGTTCCTAACATTATTTATATCTAAACACTAGTATTTTATCTAATTATTTACCACTTTATTGTCTCATATTTCAGTAGTTAAAGAAAACACAGAACTCAAAGTGAAGCCCTTTTCCCTCTACATTCTCAACATAGTCTCTATCAGAAGTGTTTGGCTTGTGTTGGGTCCGACTTGGCCCGGGCGGTCAAAATCAACTTTAAACACACAGATGTAACTTCAAATGTGATTAAATCTATAGATTAGTGTTATATCTACCTATACACCAATTTATAATGTCCAGGTGTATCGCATTTAAAGAAATCTGCGCCCTTAAAGTGAAGCATTTTTACTTTATTTTCTTTAAAAAATCCAAGTCAGAAATGTTCGGTCCGACCTGGCCCGGGCTGTTAAAATCAACTTAAACCTCACAGATGTATCATCAAATGGATTCACATCTATAGATTAGTATTATATCTACCTATACACCACTTTATAATGTCACAGATTGCAGTCTTTATAGACAACAAGGGGCTCGAAAGTGAAGCCTTTTTCCCTCTACATTCTCAACATAGTCTCTATCAGAAGTGTTTGGCTTGTGTTGGGTCCGACTTGGCCCGGGCGGTCAAAATCAACTTTAAACACATAGATGTATCTTCAAATGTGATTAAATCTATAGATTAGTGTTATATCTACCTATACACCAATTTATAATGTCCAGGTGTGTCGCATTTAAAGAAATCTGCGCCCTTACAGTGAAGCATTTTTACTGTATTTTCTTTAAAAAATCCAAGTCAGAAATGTTCGGTCCGACCTGGCCCGGGCTGTTAAAATCAACTTAAACCTCACAGATGTATCATCAAATGGATTCACATCTATAGATTAGTATTATATCTACCTATACACCACTTTATAATGTCACAGATTGCAGTCTTTATAGACAACAAGGGTCTCGAAAGTGAAGCCCTTTTCCCTCTACATTCTCAACATAGTCTCTATCAGAAGTGTTTGGCTTGTGTTGGGTCCGACTTGGCCCGGGCGGTCAAAATCAACTTTAAACACACAGATGTATCTTCAAATGTGATTAAATCTATAGATTAGTGTTATATCTACCTATACACCAATTTATAATGTCCAGGTGTGTCGCATTTAAAGAAATCTGCGCCCTTAAAGTGAAGCATTTTTACTGTATTTTCTTTAAAAAATCCAAGTCAGAAATGTTCGGTCCGACCTGGCCCGGGCTGTTAAAATCAACTTAAACCTCACAGATGTATCATCAAATGGATTCACATCTATAGATTAGTTTTATCTACTTATACACCACTTTATAATGTCACAGATTGCAGTATTTATAGACAACAAGGGGCTCGAAAATGAAGCCCTTTTCCCTCTACATTCTCAACATAGTCTCTATCAGAAGTGTTTGGCTTGTGTTGGGTCCGACTTGGCCCGGGCGGTCAAAATCAACTTTAAATAGACAGATGTATCTTCAAATGTGATTAAATCTATAGATTAGTGTTATATCTACCTATACACCAATTTATAATGTCACAGATCGCAGTATTTATAGAAGACATGGGGCTTAAAGTGAAGCCCTTTTCCCTCTACATTCTCAACATAGTCTCTATCAGAAGTGTTTGGCTTGTGTTGGGTCCGACTTGGCCCGGGCGGTCAAAATCAACTTTAAACACACAGATGTATCTTCAAATGTGATTAAATCTATAGATTAGTGTTATATCTACCTATACACCAATTTATAATGTCCAGGTGTGTCGCATTTAAAGAAATCTGCGCCCTTACAGTGAAGCATTTTTACTGTATTTTCTTTAAAAAATCCAAGTCAGAAATGTTCGGTCCGACCTGGCCCGGGCTGTTAAAATCAACTTAAACCTCACAGATGTATCATCAAATGGATTCACATCTATAGATTAGTATTATATCTACCTATACACCACTTTATAATGTCACAGATTGCAGTATTTATAGACAACAAGGGGCTCGAAAATGAAGCCCTTTTCCCTCTACATTCTCAACATAGTCTCTATCAGAAGTGTTTGGCTTGTGTTGGGTCCGACTTGGCCCGGGCGGTCAAAATCAACTTTAAATAGACAGATGTATCTTCAAATGTGATTAAATCTATAGATTAGTGTTATATCTACCTATACACCAATTTATAATGTCACAGATCGCAGTATTTATAGAAGACATGGGGCTTAAAGTGAAGCCCTTTTCCCTCTACATTCTCAACATAGTCTCTATCAGAAGTGTTTGGCTTGTGTTGGGTCCGACTTGGCCCGGGCGGTCAAAATCAACTTTAAACACACAGATGTATCTTCAAATGTGATTAAATCTATAGATTAGTGTTATATCTACCTATACACCAATTTATAATGTCCAGGTGTATCGCATTTAAAGAAATCTGCGCCCTTAAAGTGAAGCATTTTTACTGTATTTTCTTTTAAAAATCCAAGTCAGAAATGTTCGGTCCGACCTGGCCCGGGCTGTTAAAATCAACTTAAACCTCACAGATATATCTTCAAATGTGATTAAATCTATAGATTAGTATTATATCTACTTATACACCACTTTATAATGTCACAGATTGCAGTATTTATAGACAACAAGGGGCTCGAAAGTGAAGCCCTTTTCCCTCTACATTCTCAACATAGTCTCTATCAGAAGTGTTTGGCTTGTGTTTGGTCCGACTTGGCCCGGGCGGTCAAAATCAACTTTAAACACACAGATGTATCTTCAAATGTGATTAAATCTATAGATTAGTGTTATATCTACCTATACACCAATTTATAATGTCACAGATCGCAGTATTTATAGAAGACATGGGGCTTAAAGTGAAGCCCTTTTCCCCTCTACATTCTAAACATAGTCTCTATCAGAAGTGTTTGGCTTGTGTTGGGTCCGACTTGGCCCGGGCGGTCAAAATCAACTTTAAACACACAGATGTATCTTCAAATGTGACTTAATCTATAGATTAGTGTTATATCTACCTATACACCAATTTATAATGTCCAGGTGTATCGAGGTAAACCCAAGTACAGTACAGAAACTGAAGTAATTTGGGCTCTCTTAGTTTTCTGTATGCTTATACGTCATACTGTATTTAATTATGTTTCTTATTCTAAGAGGGCGGTCGGGTCGCCTAGTGGTTAAAGCGTTCGCTCGTCACGCCGAAGACCCGGGTTCGATTCCCAACATGGGTACAATGTGTGAAGCCCATTTCTGGTGTCCCCCGCCGTGATATTGCTGGAATATTGCTGAAAGCGGCGTAAAACCGTACTCACTCACTCACTAACTTATTCTAATACTGCTAATGTTTGTCAGTGGCCAGTGATAGTATGTTTTATGGAATAGTATCTTTCATACCAATATGGTGATATGTTATAACTTTATTTCGTACTTGCGAGGGACACGACACTATCATAGCTTACAAAAGTATTCTGGAAGCATTTTAGGACAAACATGTTAACGTAAGTTCAAAAGAAAATAAATGGGTTTTGTTAATTAGCCTCACCAAATGCATAAGTTATCAATGAAACGGTCTGCTATTAACTACAGCTCAAGACAGCTAATTAAGGGCAAATGGTTGATTGATTACGCAACACCTACTTGATTGCAATTAAGCAAGGGGCAATTAAGCAAGCTGGGTACAGGTGTAATTTGGATTAATTCCACACTTAACGTGCATATACGGACGCAATGAGAAGGATCGATGAGACACAAGACTTGAAGTAAGGCAAAAACGTTTCTCCAGTATAATCGAATAATCAAATTAGCGCATTGTGAGACGATGCTTGAACTGTGAAACCAAACATTAATGTTATCAACTCAAGTTCGGGTGCAGGAAGTGTTTTTCTTGCAAAAAAAGATGTACATGTGCATATAGGTACGAAAACCTGGTCCCTAAGTGGTACCTCAGATGTAAGTACAAATACTAACAGTTCACGATAATCTTCAACATTGAGATGTGTTCACATGTGTTAACCAGTAGTACGTTACGAATAATTCTCAATTGGAAATATTATGCGTATGTTTTATGAGTACATGTGAATCAGTTTTGTAAATGCATTCTCAACCCGCATCGGTATATTTCTAATTACAGTTTAGTTTGCGTTCGGGAAAGAAACCGTAAGTGTCTACACCTGATGTAAGAACAAATATTGCGTAAAATGGCAAAACATAATTGAGAAAGTTAAAACACATGTTTAAAATTCACATTACAATAAATATGAATATGAATGTTGCGTTTTCTGAATCAGCATAAAAAAGGAACATGTGTGAGTCTTGAGATAGTGTTTTTTTACATTTCTTATAAATTCAAAACACGTTTGACTAAAGATCAAAGCTTATGACACCATATAAACATGCCAAGACTTCAACACGCGTTATCTGTTGTTGGAATAAACAGCTTAAGTTACAATTTATTCAGCAACATAGCTGCAAAACTTACTCTACAATGAGATCAAACAACGTATACAAGCTTAGATTAATCTCGAGAATGGGGAAGTCAAAAGCATTTACTCACTTATTTTGGAATTATAAATATTGTATAACTAATAACGGGAAGTGGAATGGCATGTAGTACATGCATCGTACTAATAGTGACACAATTAGATGCCAACAACTACGCCCCGTCTACGCAGCCTGCCAGTTTCTAATTATTTGGAATAATCCTTTCCGGCGTTTCTTTCAATTATAAAGGACTCATTTCATACGTAGGGGTCTGTGATCTAAAAAACACAATTGGTATGTTTACGTAGACACAAACACGTGGTGTGGTTTGGTATGGTCAGTAACTGACAACCTGCTGATGACAAATGTCAACACACCGGGTCAGTAAACTGACCACTACAATGATCGAAGGATGTGTTACGTCCATGCATCTAACAGTTGAAACATTTGTTTCTCTTTGTTGAAGTTCACGGATGACAAGGTAGACACAACTTTATGGGTAACGTCTACCTTGTCAATCGTTTTCTACCAAGGATTTACGATTGGGAGGCCTCTAAACGTGTAAGTTATTTTCCTTTTCAAAAGAATAGGATTTCAATCAAAAGGTTACAGTTAAAATGACATATACAACGTTTAAATCTATAAGGTTATGGTGAATTTTGGCTCAGGCGAAACAATGCTTCACTTTGTATACATGTTAATACATTTGATACATCTGTGAGCTTTAAGTTGATTTTAACAGCCCGGGCCAGGTCGGACCGAATATTTCTGACTTGGATTTTTTTAAGAAAATACAGTAAAAATGCTTCACTTTAAGGGCGCAGATTTCTTTAAATGCGATACACCTGGACATTATAAATTGTTGTATAGGTAGATATAACACTAATCTATAGATTTAGTCACATTTGAAGATACATCTGTGTGTTTAAAGTTGATTTTAACAGCCCGGGCCAGGTCGGACCAAACAATTCTGACTTGGATTTTTTAAAGAAAATACAGTAAAAATGCTTCACTTTAAGGGCGCAGATTTCTTTAAATGCGACACACCTGGACATTATAAATTGGTGTATAGGTAGATATAACATTAATCTATAGATTAAGTCACATTTGAAGATACATCTGTGTGTTTAAAGTTGATTTTGACCGCCCGGGCCAAGTCGGACCCAACACAAGCCAAACACTTCTGATAGAGACTATGTTGAGAATGTAGAGGGAAAAGGGCTTCACTTTGAGCCCCTTGTTGTCTATAAATACTGCAATCTGTGACATTATAAAGTGGTGTATAAGTAGATATAATACTAATCTATAGATTTAATCACATTTGAAGATACATCTGTTAGGTTTAAGTTGATTTTAACAGCCCGGGCCAGGTCGGACCGAACATTTCTGACTTGGTTTTTTTTAAAGAAAATACAGTAAAAATGCTTCACTTTAAGGGCGCAGATTTCTTTAAATGCGATACACCTGGACATTATAAATTGGTGTATAGGTAGATATAACACTAATCTATAGATTTAATCACATTTGAAGATACATCTGTGTGTTTAAAGTTGATTTTGACCGCCCGGGCCAAGTCGGACCCAACACAAGCCAAACACTTCTGATAGAGACTATGTTGAGAATGTAGAGGGAAAAGGGCTTCACTTTCGAGCCCCTTGTTGTCTATAAATACTGCAATCTGTGACATTATAAAGTGATGTATAGGTAGATATAATACTAATCTATAGATGTGAATCCATTTGATGATACATCTGTGAGGTTTAAGTTGATTTTAACAGCCCGGGCCAGGTCGGACCGAACATTTCTGACTTGGATTTTTTAAAGAAAATACAGTAAAAATGCTTCACTTTAAGGGCGCAGATTTCTTTAAATGCGATACACCTGGACATTATAAATTGGTGTATAGGTAGATATAATACTAATCTATAGATTTAATCACATTTGTAGATACATCTGTGTGTTTAAAGTTGATTTTGACCGCCCGGGCCAAGTCGGACCCAACACAAGCCAAACACTTCTGATAGAGACTATGTTGAGAATGTAGAGGGAAAAGGGCTTCACTTTGAGCCCCTTGTTGTCTATAAATACTGCGATCTGTAACATTATAAAGTGGTGTATATGTAGATATAACACTAATCTATAGAGGTAATCACATTTGAAGATAAATCTGTCTGTTTAAAGTTGATTTTGACAGCCCGGGCCAAGTCGGAGCGAACTGTGTGACTGTCGAGAGTAGAGGGAGAAGAGGTCTACTTTAACCAACGTGTCTGCTTTAAATACGATGAACAGTGACGTTATAAAGTGGTATTTACTTAGATATAGTACGTTCCTATAATATAAACGCTATGCCGACAGATGGAAATTCGTATGACGATAGCTAGAAGTATTTGATACGTGTCAAATCCTATTTCGTTTAACGATTGCTCTTTTACATGTTACCTAGATCAGCGACGCTAACACACAGCTCCACTTTCTAGTTTTTAAGTGATTTACTCCGAATTACTTAATTATGCTGCACGTTTTGGATTGGTGATTGTTCAGTAGTGTCATGTGTGTATGTTGCATCAATAATATGTAGATATGATCGCCGATAATTAAGTAATTAGCCAATAACACTTTGGCCCGTCTTGGCCCGGCCCGGCCCGACTTTTAGGCAATCCCATCGCAAACCCATACTTTAACATAGACTCCCGACAATCGTAGCGCTAAGATCGCTTTGTGGAACAGGTCCCAGATTTGAGTATTTACAGACCGCCGTAATATAGATGGATTATTGCGGCGTTAAACAACAAACAAACAAACATACGTACAAACAATCTTCTGATAAACTGGATCATTTGCAAAAGGATACCTTAATGCTATGGCCCCAATTCAGGGGATTGGGGAGCCATAAATGAAGGTGAATAAGGGCTACCTTTGGACCGATCTAGCTCCGAAGAACTATTGGATTAAAGAAAAAATAAATTGTTTAATCCGATTATCCGATTTCAGATAATCTACATGGGGATTGCTTCGTATGCGCCGTCCACTGCCTTGGAAGCAGGTAATTGATCTGATGTAACATACTGCAACAGTCTCTCTGTGTACCTGTTACAATTTGTAGCTCACCAGTCGTCTAGCATATGGTTGGTTGTTTTGTTGTTTTACGCCGCACTCAGCAATATTCCAGCTATATGACGGCGGTCAGTAAATAATCAACACGATGGCTGCGAGGATTAGATCGCTGACTTTGTGTGCTGGCGAGCAGGTGCCTCACTCTGGCAGTATGGGTTCGAATCCTCAACCCAAAAGAAGTACAGTAAACTACGGTTATAACGAACTCAAAGGGACTACTAATTTTAGTTCGTTATAACCGTAGTTCGTTATAAGCATGTATACAGCATAACTACAGCAAATAGTCGGGACCAAAAAGTAAGTTCGTTATATCCGTCAGTTCGTTATAAGCGTGTTCGTTTTAACCGTAGTTTACTGTACTTGAATCTGTACTTTACTAAGAAAGTGTTATCCCAAATATAACATTTGTTAAATTCATGTTTATTGAACTTTTTATGAAGCACACTTTTTTTCCGTGTATGTACATGAGGATTTCACGTTGCAGTAACAGGATTCCCAGTCTGGGCGGCTATCGTTGTAGTGGGTGCAGTCTCCAGCTTCTACACGGTACTGGTACGTATTTCAAAACACAAACTGTCTGATCAGCACTTGTAGGTGAGCTAAAGCTAACCTTGCTTCACTCGTTGTCAGTAGATCAAAACATTCCAGCTATTTCATGGCGGCCTGTACACAATCGAACGAGCAAACCAATGGATACCGTGACGATGACTGCCCAGGGGTGTGTAGCGAGGCCATTTTCAAGTGAGCCAAAATTGAAGATGTCAAGTATCAAGGAGGTTGCGGCTCCCGAGAACGCTACTGGGGTATATCTGAGCACATAGTCTGCGTCTTGGGGTATTTCCCCAATTTCAGAAGTTTTACTTTGTTTAATGTTGTAGTGTAGGACATTGGCATCTGACGTATTAACGTCATGACAATGTAATGTAGTGTCCCCTTGATGCACGGCAATTACACGAGCGGCTGTACCGATCGATCACCGCGAAAGGCGGCCATTGACAAAGATGTTTTTGTGCTTCAAATCAATACTAGAAAACTAATGTGCAGACAGTTGCCCTTTTGCCTATATGGTAGTTACGCGGATCATAAGTAGTCACAATCAGCCATTGTGCCCACCCGATCCTCATTTCTGTCAGCTTTTACAAGTGTGGAGTTCGTAGCTATTCTTCCCCGTAATCCCAACTAAGAAATTGTTTTTTTTAAAAATAAAGTTTATGCTTCTCATTACCTATATAATCGTCTCTATTTCTACTGTTTTAACAATATGATCATTATTATCATTACATTCTAGGGTGGGCTTAAGGCTGTGGTATGGACGGACCTATTCCAGTCGCTGGTTATCGTGAGCGGTCTACTCGCTGTTGTGATTCAGGTAAGAAGCAAGGATTTGGTTCAGGATGAAGCGGCCTACTGGGCATTATCACATAAAACATTTCAATCACAAGAAGAAATTTGTATTTTACAAGTCCATATGTTATTCACACACATACACACACACGCGCGCGAGCACGCATGCACGCAAACACACACACAAACAAAAGCAACACACACAAAACAGCAAGAGAGTTAACTGACTTTAAAAGTCAAGTTTCCACCCTTGCCGAACTAGGCTGGAATTCCTGGGCTCGGTGGTAGCGCCACCAGTGGTTATTACGAGTAATGTCCCTTCTAAGCCTCTCCTATGGACCAATCAGATTCTCTCTCGTATCATTTGCATTTGCTTCAAACAAGTTTGCGGCGCCCATTCAAGACGATCTAATCGATAAAAAGATCTATATTGTGATAAAATGGGTCTTACATCGCAAAGTGCATCAAATCACGTGAGCACCATGATTAAAAACATGAAAAGATTTGGAAAATATCTGTTGATAACGAGTTGGCGGTGCACAACCTTTGCAAATTCTGCTATCGACCGAAATCTGCACGACAGTTAATGAACCGGATTTCGATTTCGTTGCGCTGTTTTGATTGGCCTATGTATAGACTCGTTAATCCAGCCAAAATCTAACTCCATAATACCAGCCTAATTCGGCAAGGGTGGAACCTGGACTTTTGTAGTTAGTTAACTCTCTTGCCTCGGGAAGATGCGATTATCATGATTAGTATTTATTTTCAATCTATTATAACACCCTGGACCCATTCGCCGCCATAGCTTCGATTTGAGATCAGTTCGAGTGACACGACGCTAAGTATTGCCGTCTGAGGGCTCCCCTCCCCATGTCCCCATCTATCCAGCTAAACGTTCAGTTTCAACAGCCTTCTTAATTATTATTTCGAAAGGTGATCTGTGCCGAACTCACTTTCAGAAGAGGAATTTTGATTGCTTGTTGATCTTCAATCTCGGGTCACTATACACGTACATGTGTAAGTTCCTCTCTCCATCACCCTTGAATACATAAAGCCTCTGTTGTGTTATTGCTATGTTTCAACAACGAATCCATCCATGGCCTAGTTTCTGAGAGAGGTAAATCAGCGAGTGCTCAGACCAATGAACACTGAGAAAACATCGGCAACACGTCGCCTACAACCCGTGAAGATCCGGGGTAGAATAGGTCTTCAGCAATCCATGCTTGCCGTAAAAGGCGAACATGCTTGTCGTAAGAGGCGACTAACGTGATCGGGTGGTCAGGCTCGCTGACCTGGTTGATGCATGTCATCGATCCCAATTGCGTGGATTGATGCTCATGATGTCAATCAGTGGATTGCCTGGTCCAGACTTTGTTATTTTCAGACCGCCTTCATATAGCTGGAATATTGCTGTTTGTGGCGTTAAGCAAAAAACAAACAACGTCAACAGCCTTGCTGCTATGTACTCTACACATTGCTCCAGGCAGCTGTAGGGTTCGCACAAAGTTCATGCATGGCGTTGGGCTCATTTGACTTCCGTCATGCGTGATTGACAACAGACACAGGTCGCTACAACACGACAATGCGGCAGTATTTATTCACGGATGATGGAGGAACGCTGTGCATACAAACCCGGAAGTATTGACGAGAGTTGAACGAGAGAAAGTCTGCGCTAAATGTGTTGGCGATATTGGAGACGGATATACCATATCTCCTCTATTAAACGCCCGGCTGTTTATTTCTTTCAACCATCATTTACCGCATGTAATCAAAAAGATAATAAAAACTATCCGGGGTTTATTCGAGGTCCGGCGTTCGAGGAAATACGGTATGGTGACTTCGATTCTGAAACGAGGCGTTGATGGCCATTGGTATATAATATATAATCATATAGTAGGGATATGATACACTACATTATCCGCCACTAGGCTCTGTAAATTCTCATCCTCCGATATATGTCTTATTTGGTGTCAAATAGGGCACCATGCTTGTTGGCGGCGTCGGAGAAGTTTGGCGGATCAACAACGCCTGGGGAAGAATTAACTTCTTTGAGTAAGTTAAAAATAATAGCTCTACATTGTCCTTCAAATAAATGCACTGATGGTCTGATTGTAATGAGATTGCAACTGTCTTGGCCTTCACTACACCCGTTTTACCTAATGAGATTGCTATTGTCTTTACCCCCACTATACCAGTTTTACCTCATGAGATTGCTGCTGTCTTGGCCTTCATTACAAAAGTTTTACTTTATGAGATTGCTACTGTATTGGCCTTCACTACACAAGTTTTACCTAATGAAATTGCTGCTGTCTTGGCCTTCATTACAAAAGTTTTACCTAATGAAATTGCTGCTGTCTTGGCCTTCACTACACAAGTTTTACCTCATGAGATTGCTACTGTATTGGCCTCCATTTTCACCAGTTTTACCTAATGAGATTGCTACTGTATTGGCCTTCATTACACAAGTTTTACCAAATGAGATTGCTGCTCTCTTTTTCTATACCAGTTTAACCTAATGAGATTGCCACTATCTTGGCCTTCATTACAAAAGTTTTACTTTATGAGATTGCTGCTGTCTTGGCCTTCATTACAAAAGTTTTACTTTATGAGATTGCTACTGTATTGGCCTTCACTACACAAGTTTTACCTATTGGATTGCTACTGTATTGGCCTTCACTACACAAGTTTTACCTATAGTAATGAGATTGCTACTGTCTTGGCCTTCGCCAATCCCAGTTTTACCTAATGAAATTGCTGCTGTCCTGGCCTTCACTACACAAGTTTTACCTCATGAGATTGCTACTGTATTGGCCTCCATTTTCACCAGTTTTACCTAATGAGATTGCTACTGTATTGGCCTTCACTACACAAGTTTTACCAAATGAGATTGCTACTGTCATGGCCTTCACCAATCCCAGTTTTACCTTATGAGTTGCTACTGTCTTGGCCTTCAATCATTCCAGTTTTGTGACCTGAAGAAGCGGAAATCGGTGTCCCCTCAACAGTGGTCACAGTGATTCTAAATTTGGCCGCCACTACAGCCATATTGTATTCTACCCCGGATCTTCACGGGTCCAAAAGAAATGTGTGTACTAAGGCATTATAACAGTGATGCAAAACGAACATATTTCAAGGTCTTCAGCAACCCATGCCTGCCGTAATAGGCGACTAACGGGTTCGGGGTGTCACTAGATTGTGTGGTCCATATTCGACTATTTATGGCCGTCATATAGCTAGAATATTGCTGAGCGGGGCGTTGTACCAATAAACAAAACTAACAAATTATATACTTATTAGCAGTAAAATCTCTACCCTTGTTCAAAGCAGACGAAATTTAAAATTAACTTTAACGTTTTTAGAAAATCAGTAAATGCGCTATCGTGTGCCTGGATATGTGATCCATCACTTGATTGTTTGGTTTGTTTGCATGTCGCCGTCGCTTGGCAGGAACACTGTTGTGTTGGGTCGGACAACAAACACATACTTCTTTATGCAAATTGTGTGAGTGGCGGGTGCTTCCTGTTGAGCAGGACCTGCTTACCCTTTTCACTTGGTGTCATCACTGATTTTCAGTGATCCATTCATATAATTTTCACTGCTATTTTTCCTTTTACGCACAATGGAATCTGTTTCGGCAGATAGTCGTTTCGTATTTGTGTAAACTTGTTTCTATCGCTGTAGTTTCGACCCCTCTCCGACAACCCGGCATACATTCTGGTCTCTAGTTGTTGGGGGAACCATAGCCTGGACCGGAACTTATGGAGTCAATCAGGCAAGCATACAGCGCTTCTGTGCTGTGCCTACACTGAAGAAAGCCCGGATGTAAGTATGAACTGAGGGCAGATAGGAAACAGTGTAAAGTTAAAAACGATTTTTTTCAAATTTTGTGGTTGTGAAAATGTTCAGATTAATTTGAATCATATATCGCAAAAAATTGATAAAACTGGGTTCTTACCCAAGACGGGGTCGTTAACCGATAATAAAGGTCCAATTTCTACCCTCGTCGAACTAGGCTGGAATGTCGTGACTCGATCGTAGCGCTACCAGTGGCAGTTACGAATTATGTCCCTTCTATGTCCATCTTATTAACCAATCAAATTCCACCTCTCTTTTCACTTACATTTTCTCCAAACAAAATGGCGGCGTCCAAATCTGCACGGGTTTCGCAAATGTTGTGAATGAACCCAATGTCGATTTCGTTCCGCGATTTTGATTGGACTTTACATAAACTCGTTAGTCCAATTAAAATACAACTCCATAGTTTCCGCCTAGTTCGGATCGCTGACTTGGATGATGCATGTCAACGTATCCAAATTGCGTGGATCGGTGCTCATGACATCATTCACTGGATTTTCTGGTCCAGATTCAATTATCTACAGACCGCCATCATATAGCTGGAATTGCTGAGTATGGCGTTAAACACCAAACAAATAAACTATGTATAAACCGACGTGCTTCAGCTGGAATAATGTGACTGCAACGACCCAACGCACAAACACACCACCTACTGTTCCCCACTTCAGATCACTGATGCTCAACGCTGCTGGAGTGCTGATCCTGCTGACCATTCTGTGCCTGGCAGGGATCACCATCTTTGCCTACTACGCCATTAGAGGCTGTGACCCTTTGTCAGCTAAATACATCGGAAATTCCAACCAGGTACATTGTGTTTCAAGTGTTCGATTCTCAAAATAGGTACACGGTGTGAAGTCAGTTTCTGCTGTACCTCGTGATATGGCTGAAATATTGCGAACTGCGGCGTATATCCATACTCGCTCACTGGCTCCAACCATATCACCAAAGGAGAGTCAGTGAGTAAGTTGGGTTTAACGCCGCTTTTAACAGTATTCCAGTTATATCACGGCGTGTCAGCTACATGTGGGAGGAAAGCCTAAAGCAATGCAGGTCTCGGACGTTTACCACTTCTGTGAAACCCACGAGCACGGGTATGGTGCTGACAAACCTAGAAACATAATCCGGGTGAACTGGGATTCGAACGCACAACCATAGGTTTCTGGCGTGCCCAAGGGACGCAACTCTGCACAGCGAATCTTTGCGCCTTAACGACTTGGTCACGCTTGCCCCCACCAAAGGAGAGACTGTGGTCCAGTCGAGATCTGTACAATAGGGAGCACTATCAAGAACTTACACAAAATAATTGCTTTGACTTAAGGCACAATTCCTTAGACTTAAGGCACAAACTTGTAAGAAGCGACTAACGCGATCGGGTGGTCAGGCTCGCTGACTTGGTTGATGTATGTCATGGATCCCAATTGCGTGGATCGATGCTCATGATGTCAATCACTGGATTGTCTGGTCCAGATTCGATTATTTACAGACAACCTTCATATTGCTGGAATATTGCTGAGTGCGGCGTTAAACAACAAACCAACTAAGGCACAAACTCGCACTTAAACTCTGAAATACCTACTATTAGACAGGCTGTGGGGATCATACATCAGATCGAGACAGTCAAGGTGCTGATGGAGATTTCTTTGTGTACTGTTTGACCCCAGCTTTTGCCGTACTTCGTGATGGAGGTTCTGGACTACCCCGGAGTGCCTGGATTGTTCATCGCCTGTTTGTTCAGTGGGACGCTAAGGTATGTTTCATTGAGTTCAGATGGGGCACGGGTGGCCCAGTCGTCTAAGGAGCCGCGATTCGCTGTGCAGAATTGCATCCCTTGGACATGCCAGAAACCTATGATTGTGGGTTCGAATCCCGGTTCATCCCGATTATGTTTCTAGGTTTGTCAGCACCATACCCGTGCTCGTGGGTTTCACCGACGTGGCAACCGTCTGAGACCTGCATCACTTCGGGCTTTCCTCCCACATTAAGCTGACACGCCGCGATATAACTGGAATACTGTTAACAGCGGCGTTAAAAACAACTCACTCACTCACTCATTGTGTTCAGTGTACTCTCAGTAGACACTTGACTACAGTTTCTAAATCCAACGATATTGCCCAAACGGCTTTTCTGTTCAGAATCATAATCTGCCCCTGTGACGTGTGACCTCGGGCATGACAGCAAGTAAATAATTCAGCTGTCAAGATTACCGAGCCGAGATCGTTTTGTCGATAGTTAGGGGAATAGGGTGTATAGTACGGTGCCCTTCTTCACTTAATCACTCTACCTATGATTTGGGTTTCGAATCCCGGTTCGCCCCGATTATGTTTCTAGGTTTGTCGTGGGTTTCACCGAAGTCGTAAACGTCTCAGGCCTGCATCACTTCGGGCTTTCCTCCCACATTAAGCTGACACGCCGTGACACAACTGGAATACTGTAAAAAGCGGCGCTAAACCCAACCCACTCACTTACTCACATTCAATTACTGCGTAAAGTATTCTGGAATGTGATGGAAAACATAGACGCTGGGCGGTTATAGCTGGTGGTTATAGCGTTGGCTCGTCTCACCGAAGACCCGGGTTCTTTTCCCTTCATGGGTACTTTGCATCTAGGAGTCTGTTTTCTATGTTATTGTATGGGCACGAACACACAATGCCATTTAGAAAGTGGTCAAATGTAACAAATGTTATATTTGGTACAGTGTATAACACTTTTCTCAGTGGAAACCTCGATGGCTGAGTGGGTTATACCTCTGACTTTGTGTGCTGGTGATCAGGTACCTCACTCTGGCAGTGTGGGTTCGAATCCCGGATGGGTAATAGAAAAGTAATAGAATCTGTACTTACTAAGGAAGTGTTATCCCATATATAGCACCTTTTTGTATTATTTGGGTGTTTTCATATTATCCTGACATAGGTCGACTTTCTGTCATCTTGGCCCGTATTGGCATGTCTATACATATTACAAAACGTTGATTAATAGAAGACTGTTTAAGTTGAATACCGTCTAACCAAATACACGAAGGACATTCTTTGTGTCCCCGCTGCAAAATGACCGATTGTTGCTTTTGTTAAAATTCACTTTTACTAGTCTGATCCAGACAACAACGCGTGAGCTTGATAAAGCGAATAATTGTTTGCCTGTCTTAGTACACAGTACACCTATTGTTTGCCTGTTGTAGCACCGTGTACACGTGTCTTAGTAAAGCAGTACACCTATTATTTGCCTGTTGTAGCACCGTGTACACGTGTCTTAGTAAACCAGTACACCTATTGTTTGCCTGTTGTAGCACCGTGTACACGTGTCTTAGTAAAGCAGTACACCTATTATTTGCCTGTTGTAGCACCGTGTACACGTGTCTTAGTAAACCAGTACACCTATTATTTGCCTGTTGTAGCACCGTGTACACGTGTCTTAGTACACCAGTACACCTATTATTTGCCTGTTGTAGCACCGTGTACACGTGTCTTAGTAAACCAGTACACCTATTGTTTGCCTGTTGTAGCACCGTGTACACGTGTCTTAGTAAAGCAGTACACCTATTATTTGCCTGTTGTAGCACCGTGTACACGTGTCTTAGTAAACCAGTACACCTATTATTTGCCTGTTGTAGCACCGTGTACACGTGTCTTAGTAAACCAGTACACCTATTGTTTGCCTGTTGTAGCACCGTGTACACGTGTCTTAGTAAAGCAGTACACCTATTATTTGCCTGTTGTAGCACCGTGTACACGTGTCTTAGTAAACCAGTACACCTATTATTTGCCTGTTGTAGCACCGTGTACACGTGTCTTAGTAAAGCAGTACACCTATTGTTTGCCTGTTGTAGCACCGTGTACACGTGTCTTAGTAAACCAGTACACCTATTATTTGCCTGTTGTAGCACCGTGTACACGTGTCTTAGTAAACCAGTACACCTATTGTTTGCCTGTTGTAGCACCGTGTACACGTGTCTTACTACACATTACATCAATTATTTGCCTGTCGTAGCACCGTGTACACGTGTCTTAGTAAACCAGTACACCTATTATTTGCCTGTTGTAGCACCGTGTACACGTGTCTTAGTAAACCAGTACACCTATTGTTTGCCTGTTGTAGCACCGTGTACACGTGTCTTAGTAAAGCAGTACACCTATTGTTTGCCTGTTGTAGCACCGTGTACACGTGTCTTAGTAAACCAGTACACCTATTATTTGCCTGTTGTAGCACCGTGTACACGTGTCTTAGTAAACCAGTACACCTATTGTTTGCCTGTTGTAGCACCGTGTACACGCGTCTTAGTAAACCTGTACACCTATTGTTTGCCTGTCGTAGCACCGTGTCATCGTGTCTTAATACATAGTACACCTATTGTTTGCTTGTTGTAGTACCGTGTCCTCGTGTCTTAGTAAACCAGTACACCTATTATTTGCCTGTTGTAGCACCGTGTCCCAGTGTCTTAGCAAACCAGTACACCTATTACTTGCCTGCCTCAGCACCGTGTCAACGTGTCTTAATACATAGTACACCTATTGTTTGCTTGTTGTAGAACCGTGTCCTCGTGTCTTAGTAAACCAGTACACCTATTGTTTTCTTGTTGTAGCACCGTGTACACGTGTCTTAGTACTCAGTACATCAGTTATTTGCCTGTCGTAGCACCGTGTACACGTGTCTTAGTAAACCAGTACACCTATTATTTGCCTGTCGTAGCACCGTGTCAAAGTGTCCTAGTACACAGTGCACCTCTTTATTGCTTGTTGTAGCACCGTGTCCTCGTGTCTGAGTGCCGTCACAGCGGTAGTCTGGGAGGACATGCTGAAACCATTCCTGGAAGACAGGCTCTCTGAAGGACACAAGACAATAGTGACTAAAATATTGGGTTGGTGTTCAGGATTTCCATTGTATATAAATGTTAACTTTATAGATAAACAAGGTCTCTACAGACACCACATACCAGTATATGGTCTCTGGTTACTGTTAAACAGGGTCTAGAAAGCTATTCCTGTCGTAATATTACCAATAAGGGTAGAATGATCGTGTGGAATAACTTTCGTATATTTGCTTTTTAGCAATTATCACTACTTAATAGTCAATTGAAGCCATATGATGCCACAATATTTTATTGTCGACAAACATACGATATGACGTCAGCCATTGTTCATGGCGTCACAAATGATTACATGACGTCATTTGAACAATAGGCTGACTTCTGTGAAGTTTATCTGTAGAGGAGACATTTCATACGTTTTTTCTACATTTTCTCTCTCTAAGATGTTAATGAGTAATATGCAGAATAACCTACTCGAAATTGTGGATTATATGTCACTCTTGAATGAATTGCCAAGGGCTTGGGAATAATACCATGCATCCACTCGGGAAAGATAATCCGACATTCCTCGTAGCTTGTGGGTTACCCTCGAATTCCTGCACAAACATATACACTGCAATGAGGATAAACGTCTTTAGACTAAGATTGTTTGGGCTCACACACTAGATCTTTTTTTGTTGTGACCCTGACTGTGAATACCTTTGGCGTGAGTCTTAGATTGTACGAGCATGTAACTGTCGAACTTATTGCTTCTTTGTTCACCAATTGAGGCCCACTCGGTTTATGTCCTTAACTGCATTATGCTCTGGCCTTCAATGGAGTAATGGTATTGCGATTGAACTGCAGCTGTAAACCACGCACAGACCAATTCCTTTGCATAAATGATCTTTCATGATAGCCGATATTTATTTCTTAAAGCTTTAATCATGGTTTACTTAATAAATCCTGACATAATTTGATATCGATGATTTACATGATTTTCACCACTTCTGCTAGATTGTTGTGTTATGTGATAGTCATGTGAACTAGTGAAACTAGTGAATCTCGCTCCAATATGGAGTTTTGCCAATGTTGGCGGATGTAATTATGGGATCGAGGTGAGCCGAGTGCCTGACCACCATGCGTGGAAGCACCCCGATCTTTACAGAAAATAGTAAATTATTGATCAGTGGCATGAAGTTTAACCTTGTGACACTGTCGCCATTGCAATTCCAGTACTGGTATTCGGCGCTGCCGGCACAGCTATGGCTTTTATGGCCAAGAACCTGGGAGGAACCGTGCTTCAGGTTGGTTAAACATTGCGACCTTGTGACCAGGGGCTAATGATTTTTGTTTCATACAGTGAACCCCCGTTAATTCGGAAACCCGGCTTTCTGGATATTTACTTCTAGGAACTAATGTATTATGTACATCTACCTGTACTTCTAAATTATTTGCAATGCCCAATTCATCTGTGACGACCAATGCATTTTGGAACCTCTCTCATGGGTAGGTCTACTTTATAATGCTTTGGTATGTGGCAAGGTTGTTATCAACATGGTTACGCGTTTTGCTGCACGTACACGTGTGTTGTTATCTGTGTGCACTTTAACCACAGTGTTTATCTATTCAACATTAAAAAGTCAATAAATGTGCGGCAAGTATGTCAGTCAAGAGTGAAATTTTTTCATTTTTCATTTTGATTGTCTTTACAGAAGCCCATCAGGGGCATATAATTGGGACTCGCGTGATTTAGTGAGTGAGTGAGTGAGTGAGTGAGTGAGTTGGGTTTAACGCCGCTTTTAACAGTATTCCAGTTATATCACGGCGTGTCAGCTTAATGTGGGAGGAAAGCCCGAAGTGATTGCGGTCTCAGACGTTTACGACTTCGGTGAAACCCACGAGCACGGGTATGGTGCTGATAATCCTAGAAACATAATCGGAGCGAACCAGGATTCGAACCCACAATCATAGGTTTCTGGTGTGCCCAAGGGACGCAACTCTGCACAGCGAATCGCGGCGCCTAAGACGACTGGGCCACCCGTGCCCCCTCGCGTGATTTAGATCAGTACATTGTTGATATAACCAGTGCAGACCAACAAATGGTGTTCACGTCCTGGATATGTGGTTATGATAATTCTAGTTCAAGCGTATTTGACAGGATAAATGCTGTAAATAATAATGCAACTACAGGGACAGTGGGAACAGACGAACACTATTGAGATTGTTATTAAGGTACATTCACTGTTGCACAGATAAGAAAAGGTTATGCTTTGTGTTGGAAATAGCTACTCACTAGCAAAAGAAATGCATTTGCTTGAAAACACAATGATATCGGCAAGGAGTGTCGACTTTAGTCATGTAAATAAAAACATTTTCCAAAGTTCCAAATCAAATTTGTTCTCATCGAAAGCACTTGACACCAGATCAAGGGATAGTGTTTAGGAGATCGTTCAATGAATAAACCTTTGCGATCATTTGATTTGCATTCGCTAGTGAATACATTATAAAGAGTTAACTCTTTTTTTCAAAAGCGTTTCAATACAAGTCACCTGGTGCTCAATAAATAGTAATCTCTGACAGGTTGGTACAGACTTGTTTGATAGGCACTTCTTTTGGCGTTGAGGGACGGAAAAAGTAGACACTAGTAAACAACTTCTTTATTGCACTGTTAAAGCGGCGTTTTGGTATAGATCCTTATACCTTTGTCAAGCTGGATAAGGTTTGTAATGAAAAGTTGCTGCAGCAATACAATAAAGAAGTTGTCATACAGTGTGTCTACTTCGTCTACTAAGTTTGTAGGGGCGGTCGGGTAGCCTTGTGGCTAAAGCGCTCGCTCGTCACGCCGAAGACCCGGTTTCGATTCCCGACATGGGTACAATGTGTGAAGCCCATTTCTGGTGTCCCCCACCGTGATATTGCTGGAATATTGCATATAACGGCGTAAAACAATACTCACTCACTCACCCACCCACTCAACTAAGTTTGTGGCGGTGAAGTGGTCATTGCAAGCAGGTGTGGAGCCTTATTCGTTATCAAAACATATTGATTGGAATATTCCACGCTTTTTCCAAGGGAACAATTCATATTAGGATGTCATACCTCCGACACTTTTTTTTATATATCTTGAGTGAGTGAGTGAGTGTGTATGGTTTTATGCCGCTTTTATCAATATTCCAGCAATATCACGGCGGGGAACATTGTTTCATACATTAACATAGCCATGTCACACAACAGATTAGACAGTGCTACTGTGATGAAAAACAGCACCCAACAAACATACACACTTCCATAGCGTCATCACCTTCTGGGGGCCACGGGTGGCCCAGTCGTCTAAGGCGCCGCGATTCGCTGTGCAGAGTTGCGTCCCTTGGGCACGCCAGAAACTGTGATTGTGGGTTCGAATCCCGGTTCGCCCTGATTATGTTTCTAGGTTTGTCAGCACCATACCCGTTCCATGGGTTTCACCGAAGTGGTAAACGTCTGGGACCTGTATCACTTCGGATTTCCTCCCACATTAAGCTGACACGCCGTGATATAACTGGAATACTGTTAAAAGCGGCGTTAAACCCAACTCACTCACTCACTCATTGTGTTCAGTGTACTCTCAGTAGACACTTGACTACAGTTTCTAAATCCAACCATATTGTCAAAACGGCTTTTCTGTTCAGAATCTGCCCTTGTGACGTGTGACCGCGGGCATGACAGCAAGTAAATAATTCAGCTGTCAAGATTACCGAGCCGAGATCGTTTTGTCGATAGTTAGGGGAATAGGGTGTATAGTATGGTGCCCTTCTTCACTTAATCACTCTACCTATGATTATGGTTTCGAATCCCGGTTCGCCCCGATTATGTTTCTAGGTTTGTCAGCACCATACCCGTGCTCGTGGGTTTCACCGAAGTCGTAAACGTCTCAGGCCTGCATCACTTCGGGCTTTCCTCCCACATTAAGCTGACACGCCGTGATACAACTGGAATACTGTTAAAAGCGGCGTTAAAACCCAACTCACTCACTCACCCATTTCATCATTACATCACTATGTTGTACATAGGCTGCACTCAGTTTTGCCGGTGCTGCTACTGGACCTCTCATGGGGATGTTCGCTCTAGGTGCCTTCTTCCCATGGGCCAACTGGATTGTAAGTCTCTAAAGCTGTTTGTAAAGCAATACAATTATACAAGCGAATTCTCCAAGAACTCCAACAGTCTTTGATTTAAGCTAGAAAATATGTCGGACTCATAGCCTATCCGACCCGTGAAGATCCGGATGAGAATTGGCCTTGTCGTAAGAGGCGATTAACGGGATCGGGTGGTCAGTCTGGTTGATGCATGTCATCATATCACAAATGCATAGATCGATGCTCAATCACTGGATTGTCTGGTCCAGACTCGATTATTTACAGACCGGCGTCGTATGGCTGGAATATTGCTGAGTGCGGCGGTAAACAACAAACAAATGATAGCCTATCCATTATTTCCAAGACTGTAAAGACAAGGAATGTTTAGGGATAACTTCCTTGTGGTTTGTAAATGTCTCCCAACGAATTCAAGACAGTACTAGACAACAGATACTTACTTTTTTACGTAAATTTTATTGGCGGGTTCTGCCGGTGCTTACCCTTTTCGCGATTCTTTTCACTGTTTTTTCAGTGATCCATTCATATAATATTCATTATTTTTTTGCCGTTTACGCTAATCTGGAATCTGGAATCTGTTTCAGTATATAATTCTGTCGTTTACATTTTATATTTAAAAGCCAATTTATGCGTGAAACGGGACTATAGGAAGATGGCAAACAGAAAGTAGTTCTTAACCCGTACGCTATTTCAAAAGGAGTGAGGTGCTCCACGTTGGAAGGCAACCATATATAAGTTGTATGTCACAATCTTTTCTTTTGTTCAAACTGAATATTATTGATGTGATGTCTCAGGGAGCGGTTGTTGGGGGAATCTGTGGCCTGGCGTTTCCATTGTGGTTAGGAATTGGAGCATACAGTGTGGTCGGTAGTCCCCCCGTCCTAGCCTTCCCCACAAGCAACTGCAGCGAGAGCAACTTCACGACCACAACCATCACCCCATCATACTCAACTAATGTTACAACGTCAGTGACGGACGTTAATACGTGAGTCTGACACCTGCGGTGTCATTGTTGATGTCACAAATAAATAAATTGCAAGTTAAACGTTGCATTTTATTGACTAACCATGCAATTCTATTTTCGTTTATGTTTCAAGAAACCGAAAAACAAATAGGAAACGCACACTGACGGACTGTAGTTTCTTGATTGGGTGATAAAATAATGGGCATGGCTTGTGCCGCATTATTGTGCGGAACGATGTCATGGATTCCGTTTTGCTGTCTACAGTGCTTTGAGTGTTAGTGATTAAATAAGCACTCTATTAAGTTGGTATTGTTGAATTTCTTACAATGAATCGACTTCAATATATTTTTGCGTTTTTCAAGTTAACAGCGAGTTATTCCGTGGCATTTGATTCGCTAACCAAGTATTATTTCTGCGGTTATTTTTACATAAACTTAAAAGAAAGTATGCCACGCCCATCACCGGACTATTTTTTCTGTTTGTCTGATAACATCGGGAGGGGGTTAGGTTGTATTATTGCGCTGAACGATGCCTCTGATTTCGTATTGTTGTCAACAATTTTGTGTGTGTTAATGATAAAATAAGTTTTCCGTGTCTGTAATTATAACTTGTGAACTTGTTGTTTATGACTATTTTTTTATAAGAACTGACTTGAATATATTTTTCGTTTATTGAGGTATAAACTTAAAATACTGATGCACATTTTACCTGAACCAACTGCACAGTATACACACCGGTTTGTAAAACTATACCTCCATAATCACCCCAAAATATTAAAGTCAGTTCCTAGATGAAGCTAACAAATTGAGAGAACTGGACGGAGTTTAACAACAGTTTGAATAATATATAGTGCCCATAGTATATAGTGCCAGTTGTCACTGATTGGCTGAGAGAGTGAGTTGCACCTGCCTTATTGGTAAGAGATAGAAATTTCTAAATGTATTCTGTGCCCCGTTTTCTAGTGACGAGACGAGCGAACACTTTAACCGCAATGCTTTCCGTCTGTTCCAGGAGCGGTCTGACTGGCCTGTACTCCATCTCCTACCTGTGGTACACGCCTATTGGTACTGCAACAGTCATCACAGTCGGGTTGTTGGTCAGCGTTCTTTCAGGTGGGTTCCGCACGCTTTTGACTTTGGGAGTGAGACATAATATGATACTTGGTATTCTTAGTATTCTTATGAAGAATCCAAGGCTCCAAGTTTCATTTAACATCGTTGTTCAATCAATGAGTGAGTGAGTGAGTGAGTATGGTTTTACGCCGTTTTTAGCAATATTCCAGCAATATCACGGCGGGGGACACCAGAAATGGGCTTCACACATTGTACCCATGTCGGGAATCGAACCCGGGTCTTCGGCGTGACAAGTGAACGCTTTAACCACTAGGTTACCCGACCGCCCCGTTCAATCAATGAGATTGAGGTACAAACTCCCATATATTTCACAAACTACTTTCTTCTTCATCACAGGAATGAACCGAGTCGGTGACGTCGACACAAAGTACATGGTGCCTTTCTTCGACCGTCTGATTTGCTGTCTCCCTACATCGATCAGCCGAGTCCTCCGGTGTAATCAGGAGTTTGACAGTCCTGAGGTATGTCATTGGTGAGGTTGCTGAAGAGACTGTTGTTGTCGTTGACATGTCGTTGAATTCCTAACCTTTAAATATTTAGAGTACGTCCAACGTAGGTTTGCGTCCCTTGGGCACGCCAGAAACCTATGATTGTGGGTTCGAATCCCGGTTCGCCCGGATTATGTTTCTAGGTTTGTCAGCACCATACCCGTGCACGTGGGCTTCACCGAAGTGGTAAACGTCTGCGACCTGCATCACTTCGGGCTTTCCTCCCACATTAAGCTGACACGCCGCGATATAACTGTAATACTGTTAAAAGCGGCGTTAAACCCAACTCACTCACTCACTCCAACGTAGGTTCTATTTACAATTTAATAGATTGTGAGGGTATCTCTCGATCACCCAGTGCGTTAATCATATATGTCCTATATCCTAATAGAATGGAGATATAACATACTGGGTAATCGACAGTGGACAAATGCAGGCGTCTCTAAGCATCAATATTCTTTGTTTAAATTGGCAAGCTTTAAACTTTTTTTACTTAAACGGTTCTGGTTATCGTGGCACACACATTCCTAGCACTGCTTAGTCCCACAAAGAAGGCTTAAATTATTCTTAATGGTAGTGTCCTGTCCAGAAAGGGAATTGTGTTATGTGTTTAGGTCACGTGATACTTTGGGTCTTCAAGCCAATGGGTATCGCTCGATGCCTTCCTTTAATTGCTGTCCACGGACCAAGGAAACAATGGCGCATCGTCTGGCCACCGCCTTGCATCCACGCATCTTGGCGTCATCTTAACATATTTGGTTTCGGGAGAATAACTTAAACACACATTGATGATTTTGACAAAAGTTGGTTTATAAGTATTTCTTCACGAAGAATCAATCTCATTACAATCGGATCTTAGTTCTCGCTACCGCTAAACAAAAATCTGAGGACGTCCCATTACGGGTCACGTCAGAGCGACCTTTCATCCGACCGACCAGAGAGTCGCGTACCAGATCAGGAAAGTTACAGTCGGAAATTGTTTTCTAATCATGCAACCTCGAAAAGGCAATCCCGAACGAACTTTACGGGTTGTGCGACTGATTCCGTCAAAATCATCGTCTTTCTCGCGGTACAATGGGATAAACATTTAAACTGAAAAAGACTTTACATATATATCCCTTGGAACGTATAGCCATATAATTTCGGCCATCTATTAGACATTCCAGAATGTTCTTTTGTTCTGTTCTCAAATTTTGAATCGAGAACTTTGTCAAACTATTTGTCAAACTATTTGTCAAAGCTTAGTCCGGAATTGAAGTCGCATTTGAAAGTAGTGCCGTATAACTGGTAAAAGCTGTTTTCCGATTGGCTATGGTTGACGCCTGTTAGTCATTTCATTAGTCGGTCGTTTTGACGTGACCTCTAATTGGGTGTCCTAAGATCTTTGGTTGGCGGTAGTGAGAACTAAGATCTTGCGTTAATGAGATTAATAAAGAACAGGCCATGTTCTATTATTATTCTGTTTGAACCTTGTCACACGAGCAACCTAAAACTGAGACTGGTGTCGGTTAACTTCAACAAATTCTAAGGCCAGCTTACCAAAATTAAGCCTGACAAACTTTCTGAAAAAATAAGATTAGACATATGACGTGTCATGTACCAAGGACGGCGAAAATGACTGTGACATATACAGCCAGTTGAGCACCAATTCGAAAATATTTCTGAATGAATGTATTTACATAACTGCTCTGCTTGTTGTCATGGGTGTTCTACTTACTTGTCTTGTGTTCTACTTACTTGTGTTGTGTTCTACTTACTTGTCTTTACGTCTCAGGTACTCTGTGCACAAGCGAAAGAATTACAGTCGGCAGAACAAAACATTCAGCACAAGGTGACTGACCACAAATCTGATACAAGACTTTGAATAAAAGCCGAGAGTTTTCCGCGAGAACAAACCTTACAATTGTCTACAAAGAAGAGACAGCCATCCTTGGTTGGAACTACTCAAAGACACGTTGACTACGTGAAACTTCATCCGGGTGTTACCATTCCAATAGAAATCTGGATTATCGGATCATGTGGGTGGATTAATGTTGATTAATGTTGCCTTAATACATACAACTAGAAAAAAACAACTAATAACTATTACTATTTTATAAACTTTTATAGCTAAAATGGATAGAATTATCATAAAAACGCCCGCATGTTATCAGAAATGAGCGGGCCACTGTAACTTGATAATGCCCTCATATTACTTGACGACGGGCCATTATCACGCCCGTTGTTAGGTGACTTCATGGGATAGGGATAGGTGACGTAACGTTCAATAGTGACGTCATCTGGTTTGTTCTATGACGTGTCCATATTTGTAAAAGTGGGTCAGCGACATTTGTGTTGATTGCAGTAAATGTTTCAAAATCGACATTGTTGTTTCTTTTTATTTGATAACAAATTCCATCCATTTTAGCTATAATAACGGTAAAGCTATTTTTCCTTCGTCGGGCAGTTAATGGAAGACCTCGGGCTTCTGCAAATGATAATGCCCTGAAAAATAGCGTTACCCTTATAGTATTAATTTTCTGTAAGTGAAATACAGTCAACTATGTTTATAACGAACTCAAAGGGACCACTAATTTTAATTCCTTATAACGGTAGTTCTTTATAAGCATGTGTGTAACACGTACACACAAAATGGACGGGACCAAGAAACAGTTCGTTATATCCGGAGGTTCGTTATAAACGTAGTTTACTGTACTCACATTAAAATGCAAAAACTAGTCCCCAAAAGACCATGGGACTTACACGCAATGTTAAATTTGTATTAAATGTGTTTAACTCGTGACATGTGTTGTATGTATTGAGTTTATTTTTGAAAAATCTCAAGCATAATTTTAAAGACAACTTGAAATCTAGAATTAATGTTACGCCCCAAAAAATATTAGAGGAAGAGGTGTTTTCTCCTCAGATACCGAGAAGTTGACTTCCTTAATCGTGCACAACCGTTTGTATGTCAGTATGTTGTATGTATATATTATGTCTACGTTTATATCGAACGCGCATATAACGAACTGACGGATATAACGAACTTTTTTTCACCGACCATTTGCTGTTTTTATGTTGTATCATACTGATAACGAACTACGGTTATATCGATCTAAAATTAATGGTCCCTTTGAGTTCGTAATAACCGTAGTTTACTGTATGTGTGTGCATGCGTGAGTGCGTGCGTACGTGCGTACGTGCATGCTTTGTCGGTCACGGTGACATGGATGAGAACATATCATCGAAGCCGGACGGCGTATAACGCCGTTCATAATATTAAACACAGGTTTGTCTTGCCCAGATATAACTGGAATATTCTGACAACTGCGTGAATAACAATAAAATAGAAAAAAAGAATGGAATGTCTCGAAATGATATCTCCCAAGAAAACATCTTTTCGGCGACAGTGGTGATGTCATAATCCTCTGTTTTCAACAACTCTTAAGATACGATTAGAACAAATATATTCACACGATCGATGGAATGTGGTAAAACCTTTAAACGTTTACTTTGATGTTCAAAGCTTGTGTATCCAATGAAGAGACAAAACATGCCCCTGGTAACCACTGCATACTAGCTTTGACAATCAGGAAGGAAATTCGTATCTGCTTTGATTTGCGCTGAGAGCCACATGTATCATTATTCATGATTAGTAGGCAATCTGCAAAATCTTACTGGAACAAGTACCTGTAGCTCCACAGGGTCCCCCCCCCCCCCCAAAAAAAAAAAATAAAAATAAATAAATAAATAAAATAAATAAAAATAAATAAATAAATATGAAAATTAAAAATAAATAAATAAAAATAAAATAAAATAAATAATAATAAAAAATATTCTGTTGACATCATAATGCCGCAGTATAATAATCATTAACTGACAAAGTCTGTTGTCAATGAAGAAAGCCTATGTTCCTACACTGTTCAGTGTCGTTTTACTAATTTATCATTTTACTAGTAAGCATCAACTTCGTAAATATTTATAAAAACTGATAAAGTAATTTCGCATAATTCATTGCGAACATACTCCATTCTTTCTTAGACCATCTGTTCTGGGATCCCAAATATACATTGTACAAAACTTTGATCATATTAGAAATAGAACAACTTAATTGTCGTATGTTATCCAATTAATACATACTTTTCTTAATCAAGCTTCAACATTACCATAAGTATGTATGCCACTATAGCTAGTAAGTCAATCAAGGTAAAGTAAATTGTTCACTTCATTCTTAAGATCAATATGAATCGTAGCCAGAACCCTTTTTGCGAATGCAGCTGTTTGTTTGTTTGTTTGCACTCAGCAATATTCGGGGGCACGGGTGGCCCAGTCGTCTAAGGCGCCGCGATTCGCTGTGCAGAGTTGCGTCCCTTGGGCACGCCAGAAACCTATGATTGTGGGTTCGAATCCCGATCGCCCCGATTATGTTTCTAGGTTTGTCAGCACCATACCCGTGCTCGTGGGTTTCACCGAAGTGGTAACCGTCTGATTCCTGCATCACTTCCGGCTTTCCTCTAACATTAAGCTGACACGCCGTGATATGACTGGAATACTGAACGTTAAACCCAACTCACTCACTCAGCAATATTCCAGCTCTGTAAATAATCGAGTCTGGACCAGACAATCTAGTGATTATCACCATGAGCATCGATCTAGGCCATTTGGATACGAAGACATGCGTCAACCATGTCACCAAACCTCACCATCCGATCCCGTTATGCAGGTACTAATATATGGAAGAACATGATCCTGACAAGCTTTTATTGTTGCGAATTACTTACTTCAGTTCACTGTAAAACTCTTGAACTAGCTGAAAGCACACAGAGCTATTTTGCCAGGATTGTACAACGTTTTGACGAACGCTCTCCCACTGTCGTCACCATTGCTTATATAGGACCGATGGTTGGCTATAAAGATGATGGAAAACTATAATCATAACCACTTGACACAGACTCACGAAATATCGCGATGATTCATTAACGGAGATAGCTACATGTGATCTGATCCTTATAGGGTAAAAAAAACAAGCCATAGCCCTCGGTATGGTTCGACGTTTTCTGCTTCTGATTGGCTGGCATATGAGGTAGAAGTATACACTATCTGGGGTATCACTAGGTTATCAGGTCACCATGGTCACCACTTCCCGGGTGTGATTGGCTGGCGTGAGGTACAAGTATACACTATCTGGGGTATCATTAGGTAATCAGGTCACCATGGTCACCGCTCTCGGGTGTGATTGGCTGGCATGAGGTACAAGTATACACTTACTGGGGTATCATGAGGTAATCAGGTCACCATGGTCACCACTTCCCGGGTGTAAAGAACACTCGGTTATCTCTATTTACCTGACGTAGCATGGTGCTCTAACGATAACCTCTCTATCAGTGGTGATGTATGTCGCAGTAGTAGCCCAGGCTAGTTCAAGCAGCCACACTGTCCCACCCACAGACCCACAGACAGACAGACAGACTGAGTGAGTGAGTTAAGATGAGAGATTTGGTTTGATCTAAGATTAGCATTTGGCAGGAGGGGAGTTGAAAATCAACGTCACGTCACCCGCATTTCTTTTCGTGTGTCGGTAGACGAGTGGGATGCGAGTTGAGCACACAGTGCGGTGATCTTCATGATTCAAACCAGACACAACCAAGCATAGACTCCTCTCCTGTTGCTTCTTTGAACTTGTGTCTTCCAAATTACACCCAGAAGACGCAAGTTACTTCCAAAGACAACGAAAACTCACAAACGCATCTCCCGACACTCACTGCACAGGCACTTGGTCACAACAGCGTATGAATTTCTGACCACGCACACCTGGTAAAGAAATACCACGATTTGCTGTGCAGAGTTGCGTCCCTTGAACACGCCAGAAACCTATGATTGTGGGTTCGAATCCCGTTTCGTCCCGATTATGCCACACCAGTCACACTTCTTTCACATCCTGGCGTCGAATGCCGTGAAATCATGAAACAGACGGTCTTCAGCTAAACACGCCGATATTCAGACACACTTCAATATGGTTCTATTGTCAATCACAATGTACCAGCAGACCCATTCCCAGTAAATCTACATGTAAATGTTGAACAGCATCGTAGATCGGGGTTGTCATCTGGCTTCATGCAATTTGTCAATAGCACGGAGATGGTCAACAACTGCTTCGACAGCCACTGACAATGGTGACGAATAACCGCGAAGTTCGGGGTGGAGAGTGAGTGAGTGAGTTGAAACTTACGTCGCTTTCAGCATTATTCCAGCAAACTCAGCGCGGGGCACACCAGGGCCCACTTGCACAAAGCGATCTTAGCGCTAAGACTATCGGAAGCCTATGTTAAAGTATGTGAGTTACAATCATCTCAGCGCTAAGATCGCTTTGTGGAAGTGGGCCCAGAAATTGGCTTCACACATTGTGCTCATGTGGGGAACGAAACCAAGTCTTCGTTGTGACGAGCGAACCCATTTACCACAATTCTACCCTACCGAGGTTTGAAATTAAAATAGATGGTTTATAGATCTCGATGTCAACAACATGTCTCACAGTTTCAAAACACAGTAGGTACCTCTCCGTAATACCAAAGAACTCTTTAGTGGGAAGATAACGAGTGAGACATCGGATGAGTATGGAAGCGTATTCTTGCCACAGTCTAAAAAAATATCATCAGCGTAGAGGATAGTACTTATATTTACGTTGATGATACTATAATCTACAGAGATGATGCTTTCATCAACGTAGATGATGCTAGTCACATCTACGTACAAGATACTTTAATCTACGTACATGATATAATAATCTACGCAGAAGAAAGTATCATCTACTGTCAAATTATCGACTTTGGTAACAATATTTTCTCGAGTGATCGACACTAGTTCCGGGTCAGTTATATATAACCTCTGGCTTAATTAATAATGACCGGTTAGTTTGACTTTCTATCTTGACATGTCTTTATTGAGACACTATCTACACATTGCATAAAGTACATCTTCATGTCAAAATGGACCATCATCAAACGTCGGTTTTACCTTTGACGTTCATAATGATCATACACAAAAGTCGGATTTTATTTTGTTGCAGTTTTAGTTCCGTCCGCCGTGATGCAGTCCTCCCAGTCGGGCCAAAATGTCGTCTTCATTCGTTCACAATACTCCACCAAATTTTGGAATTTTTCTGAAAAAAAAACGAACCGAAGGATATTACGTCAGAACTTTACTTTTCTCTCGATACTGGGTGTGTGAATGAGTGAATGTGATTTTACGCCGCTTTTAGGAATATCAAGGCTTGTGACACCAGCAAAGGCTTCACACATTATAGCCATGTGGGAACTCGAACTCGGGTCCTTAACGTGACGAACGGAATATTTAACCGCTAGACTACCCCACCGCCCCACTCTCGATATAAACCACTTACACATATGTTCTTGTAGTTAAGGTCATGATATAATAATACTCAATCAAATTTGTAAAAGTTTCTGAAAGAAATCCGAACCGAAAGGTATTATGTCAGAACGTTACTTTTCTCTCGACCGCCTCCGTGGTCTAGTGGTATCTCAGTGAGCTAGCACTATAAAGCGGCATCAAATGTAGTACAAGCTTAAGCAGCCACACACACATACACACACACACACGCACGTGCATGCACGTCTCTATATATGTACAATGATCTTGGACGCGACGTTAAACCCAATTTCACCTCACCTCACCTCATAAACTTTTCTCTCGCAATGAGCCGCTAATATTACATATGTGTGTTCTTGTAAATCAGGTTAATACGGGAAAATATCATTGGTAGTTGATGGGTTTTCTCTTGCAGTTGTACACCTGAACCGAATATCACGTTAAGATGAGTGTCAGCTTGATTAATATGGAAATATTTTTGTCAATTTTATTTCCTTGTTGAAAAGTTTGTTCACGGTACACATGCTTTGCAATTCAAATCCTGCATTCGACCGAAATCTGCACAGCAATCGCCAAGTCGTGTACGAACCGGGTGTTTCGTTACGCGAATTTTGTTTGAACGAGACAAAAACTCGTTAGTCCAGCCAAAATATAACTCAGAAGTTCCAGCCGAGTTCGGCAAGGGTTGAAACTGGCCATTTACAGTCAGTTAACGCCCTTGCCTCGGGAAGACGCATGACCAATTGCCATAAATGGCTACGACTAATACAAAGTGGAGACAACTCTGTAAAATTACCCAAGCTTAAAACAACTTCGTGCGCATGTCAAGCAGTGCCTGTCGCTTACACAGACGTACGACCTCTTCTGTATCACGTGATATACTTGTCATGATATGAGTGACTGTCGGTCTTCACCAACTATAGCCTGGAAATGGCCACATACCCATTGAGCGTAGATTCTTTAAAATCAGCATTCGGTCTCAATTGGAAACACTACAAGGTAGAAAATGTATACATATACATTTTAGTAAATACATCTCCTCGGAATTTCAGAAACCTTAAAATCGAGGAAATCTGTGTCAACGATGTTGTGCAGGCCGATGCGTGGAATCAAACGTCTCCACAGCGTAGCCAGGTGTCGATCATACCTCACCACAACCGCATTGTGTACTTTAACTCCCTCGATGTCCGAACAGGACGTATCTCCCTCCTCTTTACCCTCACTCGGCATCAGGGGGGGTTAAAGTGGCGAGACACGCGCGCCACCTGACGGCACTGTCGATGGTTTTTGCGTGGTACATATTTACCGTTCACGAGTTGTTCCCCTTTGGTTCCTGGACACTGCCAGCAAATCTGACACAACTGTCCAAACAAAGCAGCGTCCGTCTCGCATGGTTGATCGCCGAAAAAGAACTTCTTTGTCCCTGTTAATATAGGAAACAGTTTTAAAGATGAACATAACATAATGTTTTGAAAACAATGTTTTTTGAGTCCTACTGTGCAGTGGACAGAGCGACTGTCCTGATAGCGGAAGGCTGGTTGTTTGATCTCCGGATGCGTCATGCCAAAAGAAGTTAGAAGATGGTACTTGGCACTCGGCATTAAGGGAACAAAACAAGCACTGGTCAGTTTCGGGGTAGAACAGTCTGAGCTGGGTCAAAGCAGCCATAATACATGTACAGTAAACTACGTTTATAACGAACACGCTTGTTACGAACTGACGGATAAAAGGAACTGTTTTTTTGTCATTTGCCGGTCATTTGCTGTATATATGCTGTGTATATGCTTCTAACGAACATCGGTTATAACGAACTAATATCAGCAGTCCCTCTGAGTTCGTTATAACCGTAGTGCACTGTATACTCGTGCATGCACGTCACTATATAAGGGAAATAATCTTGAACGCGACGTTTAACCCAATTTGACCTCGCCTCACCTCATCCACTTATCGACATTCCTTACCTAGATAGACTGACAATGATCTTAAATCTTCCTCCATGATGTGCAGCACTTCCTCATGAGTGTGTCGGCCGATTCCGTGGGCTTTCGTATTACTCCGGAAAACTCGTGTTCCAAGCCAGATTACTATTCTGTTCAAGTCGAAATGTTTTTTCACGTAGTCCAAATTCTCAGCTCTGCACAGGCCCATACACCTGCAAAGATAAATAAAGGTCAAAACATCACCGGGGTCTAACCATCGTGAGTACGCCATGAGTGAGAGAGTTGGGTTTAACGCCGCTTTTAACAGTATTCTATTTATATCACGGCGTGTCAGCTTAAAGTGGGAGGAAAGCCCGAAGTGATTGCGGTCTCAGACGTTTACCACTTCGGTGAAGCACACGAGCATGGGTATGGTGCTGACAAACCTAGAAACATAATCGGAGTGAACCGGGATTCGAATCTACAATCATTGGTTTCTGGCGTGCCGTGCCCCCAGTCCGTCATGAGTTTGCATACACTGATGTACATCTGCTGAATAAATAAGGCCGTTTATAACTCACGGAAGTCAAATGAGCTCGACTCCGTGCATGTATGCACGTTGTGCGATCCCTACCATTGCCTAACACTGGAGCAATGTGAAGAGCAGATAGCCTCAAGACCGAGGCACGGTTTTCAAGCGAGAAATAGTGTCTTGTATGCGATGTAATCTGATCGATCAATGGTGTCGGAATCTGAATGTAGCTCGATTCGTTGGTTAAAAAAGCGACCACACCCTGTTGGTACTCATTGATTGAGTGAAGTATTGACGATGGGATCTAGCAAAGTATGCAACTCTCCGTCCAAAGACATTATTTACTGCTTTTCACTTGCGACGGTCTGCTTGACTTTAGACATGAGAGACTACACAAGGACAAAATGACACAAGTATATTTCGAAAGAGGAACAGTACGGCACAAGGACAATGAGACAGACATAATACACCACAAGGTCAATAGGAAATAAAGACAATACGACACAAGGACAATATGACACAGGGACACATGGACAATTAGACAGGGACAAGGACAATACACAGGGACAATACGACACAAGGACAATATGACACAGGGACAATACATTCAGTCAATATGACACAAGGACACATGGACAATTAGACAGGGACAAGGGCAATACACAGGGACAATACGACACAAGGACAATACGGCACGGATACGGCATAAGGAAAATAGGACGCAAGACGACACAAGGACAATACGACACAAGGTCTCCGAATAACTACATGAACAAACCAGAAAAGGTTTTCTTCCGCCATCTTCCGAAGGGCATGAGCAATAGCCCTTTGCTCATCGGTCAGGTGACTGTTGAGGTCAATGTTCAACTTCCGGTTCAGATACTCCACACAGAACTGCGAGTCGGCCACGGCCTCTCCGTCGTATTTCATCCAGGGAATCCTGCCTTTTGACGACCGCTCCCAACTGCAATTGTTCTGAAATAGTGATATGTGATGATTAGGCTACATAAATCCTGGTACTTCCTCCGATTGTTATTCTCAGCTTAAATTGTCCTGCCATGGTACTGTGGCATCCTCGATTATCAAAGGTATAATGTTCATTCTGTTATAATTAATAGACTTTGCGAAATAAGAGATACGAATGATATAGATTGTGACGAAACGACACTGTGGTGGAGAAAAGATCTTTGATATTAGTCACAACAGACTGTAGATGCTATACCCTTGGTAACCAAGGATGGGTACTGTGTATGTACACACAATCGTTTCTGTTATACGGGCGAGTCCCAAGGAGAACGGGATAAGAAAGATCCCCAGGACTATATTGCTTGTAGTTGGAGGCGACTAAACTGGATCCGGTCATGTCCAGTAAACGATTTTTGTGGAACCGGGGGCCATAATATTACGCTTTTACCCCAGGAACAATCCTGTTTTTCAATCTGTTTGTTTTGTTTGTTGTTCAACGCCGCATTCAGCAATATTCCAGCTATATATCTGTAAATAATCCAGTCTGGACCAGACAATCCAGTGATTCAAATCATGAGAATCGATCCACGCAATTGGGATACGATGACATGCATCAAGCAAGTCAATGAGTCTGACCTCCTGATCCCGTAAGTCGCCTCATACGACAAGCATAGTCGCCTTTTACGGCAAACATGGGTTGCTGAAGGCCTATTCTAACCGGATCTTCACGGGTTGATATTTTAATCAAACCCTTTCCCTTCAATTATTTATTGATGAAGAATTGTAATGTAAATACATGCCCGACGATAGCCACGACTAATTCCACTGACCTGGTATTCTATTTTGGCCATTCGGAGAAAGGTCTCCAGCTTGAGAGCAAATGGGGAGAAGCTAGGCGCCCTTGGCCCTCTCGGTATCTGGCAGAGAATCACCTTGGAGGCAGAACTGAAAAACAGGCATGAAGACTAGGCTAGGCAAAATGTCAGTTCTAACAAATTTGGTTCAAGTCATTTAAATAGTCAAAGAGCTGAGTTTCAAAAGGAGCCTAGAACCTACAACGCAGGACATCAAGTATTCGGAGGGTTTGATTTCATATTCTGTTCAAGCAGGTTTTCAGGCCTGTTTAACATAATTGTGGTATCAGGTTTATTTTCAATGGTCAGTGTTTGTTTATAGGGGTATGTGTTCATATAAACGATTCATGTTGGTATATCATGTCGGAATCAAGGTAGCAACCTTACACAAAGTCCACAAAGTGTTATTTTCCATGTCATTGATACGGTTATATTCCCTTGGACCAACTATGACAATTTAGCAATTATAAAAATCCAAGATGGCTGCTAAAATGTTATCCAAGATGGCCGCCAGATTATGTTTACGTTCTATACTACAACTTTGAAACTAATCCTCATACAACTCGAAAAATACAAATGCTTTTTCCAATTAGACATACTATTAATTTCTGGGCGGTGGGGTAGCCTTGTGAGGGAGCTAACTTCGTTTGCCTAATCGAAAGTTCAAGGTGGGCCCACATTCGAAACTAAACGTACTTGTTGTTGATGACATGTTCTACGTAAACATACGATCGTATTTCGTACGCAGATTATACACTTGAAAATAACATACTGGTATGCGTAATCATTTTCTTCATATATTATATTTATTCAAAATTTTAATTTCAAACCGCTCCCGTTTGTGACCTAGGAACGTGTTCTATTGGATTTTGACTGTGATCGCCGAGCTAAATTCAATTGTTAAATCTACATTGAAAACACAGTATGTTTATCTCAGATAAGGGAAGTCTTTGGAGACCGACCTTTAACATTCTTGGGCTGGGATTTTTGTCTTCAAAACACGCAAAATAATTCCCGACCCCTCCCAGAATATATAACGGCTGGTTCCTTGTGTCAGCGGAAATAACGCATACAGAAGCATTATTTTCAGTAAGTTGGCAACACCGATAATAGAAATGGAAATATAAAAAAGTATTTATTACCTTCTTTGCAATGTTATATAAAAATATAATCACAGAATGAATTTTCTAGGAGTAGCAAAATTCGTCATTGCAATCATGTTTGATACATTATACACAAGTCCTATATACATATTGCCTAATTATAGACATTGACTGTAATGTCTATATCAGTTGTGACAAGATCCGTCATTCATTACAATCACGTTTGATACATTATACACAAGTTCAATATAAATGTTTCCTAAATATAGATATTGTATGTAACATGTACATCAGGTGTGGCAAGATCCACCATTCATTGCCATCACGTTTGATACATTATACACAAGTCCTATATAAATATTGCCTAATTATAGACATTGACTGTAACATCTATATCAGGTGTGACAAGATCCGCCATTCATTGCAAACACGTTTGATACATTATACACAAGTTAAATATAAATGTTGTCTAATTATAGACATTGACTGTTACATCTATATCAGGTGTGACAAGATCCATCATTCATTACAATCATGTTTGATACATTATACACAAGTTCAATATAAATGTTGCCCAATTATAGACATTGACTGTAACATCTATATCAGGTGTGACAACATCCGTCATTCATTGCAATCACGTTTGATACATTTTACACAAGTTCAATATAAATGTTGTCTAATTATAGACATTGACTGTAACATCTATATCAGGTGTGACAAGATCCATCATTCATTGCAATCACGTTTGATACATTTTACACAAGTTCAATATAAATGTTGTCTAATTAAAGACATTGACTGTAACATCTATATCAGGTGCGACAAGATCCATCATTCATTGCAATCACGTTTGATACATTTTACACAAGTTCAATATAAATGTTGTCTAATTATAGACATTGACTGTAACATCTATATCAGGTGCGACAAGATCCATCATTCATTGCAATCACGTTTGATACATTTTACACAAGTTCAATATAAATGTTGTCTAATTAAAGACATTGGCTGTAACATCTATATCAGGTGTGACAACATCCGTCATTCATTGCAATCACGTTTGATACATTATACACATGTCCTTTTGTATATGTATCAGGAACCCGAGGCTATACAGTCATATGAACGCCATGAGTATCTTCAAACATTCTTGCTTGACATCTTTTGACTTTTGTCGCACATACTTCAGTCATTGAAAGTGTGTAATATAGCTGCTTCGTAACCTAACTTAAAGATGGCACCCCTAGAGAATGAAGCAAGCACTGCAAGGTTCAGTTCTACACATCACGTCACTGATATAACCGACCGCCTCCGTGGTTTTGTGGTAGACCGTCCGCCCAGAGAGCGGAAGGTCCGGGGTTCGATACCCGGCTGCGTCATTCCAAAAGACGTTAAAAGATGGTACTCGTTGTCACCCTGTCTGGCGCTCGGCATTAAAGGGATAAAACAAGGCATTGTCGGCTCAGAGTCGGTATACTGTGTCTGAGTGGGGTATTCATGCTAAACTGCGGCATGGTATCTCAGTGGGCTAGCACTATAAATCGGCATCAGTCCGGACTAGTACAAGCAGCCACACACTCAAATGTGCATGCACGTCGCTGGTTAAGTGCAATAATCTTGGACGCCACGTAAAACCCCATTTCAACTCACCTCATCTCGCTAATTTAACCGAAACTCTGCATGTTGTAACCTGTAGTTGTCAATATCATAATTTCAAGACGCCTTCCAACACTGATTGAAGACGACATTTTCTCTATGAATACTGCTGGAGTGGTCAATGATGCCTAGTTTGACACGAGTGGGTAGAACGCTTGACCCAAGCAGTGATAACTCACCGGGTGCCTATTTGTGTGATTCCTATTCTTTGAACGATATTGTTATATACTTGTTACAACTGTGGTCAATAAACCGTGTTTGTGTATATATTCAAGTTGGTATTTCCGCTATCAAAAGTGTGCATTGAAGCCGTCTTATTGTTGATAGTCATTTAGGAGACATAAATGCGAAGTTTTATTTATTCGAACAAAAACCACTGGCATTTTTCGCATTTAATTCAAGCTCGCGTTAATTTGAAGATTTACAGTATTAGCTTCCGCGATGACTGTTTCAATCAGAGGTTGTTACAGGGGTTGAATCCTCTGGCTGACCAAATAAAATCGAGTATTTTCAAAATTCATGGTAGAATATCCATTATAAAATTCAGGGAATCAAACACATAAGTAAAGCACCAGCCCCCCTCATGGGTATTGACAGGGGAGTGTATGCAACAGTGTTGTATGTCACATCCACTGCACCTACAATAGGAGAACTGTGGCAACTGAAGTAGATGGTGCCTCTATACAGTCTCATGTTCCAGGGGACGGCGCTCAGTGTGGTCACCTCTGTACTCACATTAGTGGACACTGTCATCTTCATCAGTTTCTTCTCATTGTTATAATACAACACACCAGCTGTCTGATCTAGGGTAACAGCATACATGTTCCTCCCTGTGGCTAATGTTGCCAGACCTTGACCATCATATGTCACTGTGAACAGTTTCCCGCGATTACATCCATAGATCCTCTTTCTCCTTGTATCAAGAGTTATTTGCCTTGGAATGCTTCCGTACTTGGATAAGTTAATGATGGCAGAAAAGTCTTTCCCCTGTGTAGATATGCGGCTGATTGAGTATCGTGGTTGATACGTTGCTATGAATACAATGTCCCGATCTTCATCAATTGCCATGCCATATGTCTCTACACCTTTTCTTAGCACCGTCACGTGACTTGTATCCAGTGTAGATGACACTATTTTATCAGGGTAGGCTAGTCCTATCAGAAGTTTCTTTGTCTTAGCTATGTATGCAACATATGTTACCTGCTTCATGGTGTGATACTGATAGACACTAAGTGAGTTACTGTGAATGTTGAGTTGACGGAACTGGTGCTGGTAGTTTGACCAGAGTGGAGCAATCAGGATCCTACTTTTCTCCTCCTCTGGCCTGGGTGTCATCACTGACGTTGTCGACACATGTGGCCTGGAGGTTGTGGTTACATTTACAGGGGCGGGGGTACAAGAAGACGCACCGAGAGCTGTTTTCATCTGTAACATTTGGGACTGACACGTTTCATTCAATGCCATGTATCGCTTGATGTCAGTCTTGAGCTCGGCAGCAGTAACATCACACTTCTGTAGTTCTATTTTCAGTCTGTGTTTATCTCTGACACAGGTATCACTTGCGTTCTCTCGATTCCACACATCTGCAATCTTCAGCATAGATTCATGAAATTCACCCGTCTCGTCCTGGAAGTCTTTGAGGGATCTAGAGACATGATGCAACTGTCTCTTCATCTGATGGTAGCCCTGTTTCAGATGCCGCAATTCAGAGACAACCTGACTTTTCACCATGTCCTGAAGAGACTCTCCTTGTAGAATCTCGGCCATGGCTTCTCTCACCTGATCCCGTATGTTTTCCTTCAATTCAGATCGAAGTGAAGTTCTGGCGACATCTATGGTGTTACGTACCCTTTTTTCCATACGGAGCATATCGACCTTGTTCTCAAGCAGTTCCTCCTCAAACTGTTCCAATTTGTGTGAGAGAGACACAATACTGTCCTGGCTACTACAAAAACAGATTACGGAGGTACATGTCAGCAACCAGAACAGGCATTTAAACTCGATCATCCTTAGGGCTGTACACTATCCTCTAAGATGTCCTTGTCCGTTAGAGCGATGTGTGCGTTTACCTCTTGGTGTGTAACGACGTTTTCTGCTACTGATTGGTTTACACTTACTGGGTTATCATTATCAGTGTTGCTGGTAACCTGTGGTTAGGGTTAGGGGTTAAATCTCCTGGGTGTAAAGAACACTTTGTTATCAGAATTGATAGCTGTGTCATTGATGTTATGATGATGTATGTAGCAGTAGTAGTCCGGGCTAGTTCAGGCAGCCACATAAACAGAGACAGACAGATAGACAAACAGACAGACACACAGACAGACACACAAACACACACACACAGAAACATACAGAGACACAGAGCGACACACACCATTGTCATATGGCCTCACTATAGGTGGAGGAACAATTAATAGAGTGCAGCAAACGAGATAAGCAGGTTGCACAGAGAGAGAGAGAGAGAGAGAGAGAGAGAGAGAGAAAGAGGGGAGGGGAGAGAGAGAGAGAGAGAGAGAGAGAGAGAGAGAGAGAGAGAGAGAGAGAGAGAGAGAGAGAGAGATAGAGAGAAACAAAAAAACAAACTGTTATTCTTTGGTCAACTATTTAGACAGAATAATTCCTTCATTTCGAAGAAACTTTTCTAATTGCTATTAGGCATCTGTTTTGCTTATTTAAAATGTTGCACGTTTATGGACAAACAGAGATGGTGCTCTTTGGTCACAAAGGCTCTTAATCAATATGAAAAGGCATTACACTCCAGCGTGCCTTACAACTAACCAGAACTACAAACTGTTCATGAAATTCACCCAACAGTGCGTATGCATCATCTGTGGAAAGTAGCATACGTTCATCTAACACGCAAACTGTACATATCATCCATGATATATCTGGCATCAATAAAACCTGGTGATGTTACATGTGCACCATGGCACACCATAGTACCGGACTGTAAAAAACACGTCACCATTGACGGTGAAGGAAATACAAATTCGAAATGATACCTCTCCACCCCGAACCTAGACGTGGGTGGACTTGACCTACTGCGCGGTTACTACTAGTCATTGTGGCTGTTGACATACATTGACACTATTCGCGACCAACTCGGGTCACTCTGGGACAAGCCGAATGGAGACTCGTACCCCTCTCGAAGATTTCCACCTTCACGAGATTTTTTGCTTGGTTTGTTTTTTAACGCCGCACTCAGCAATATTCCAGCTATACGACGACGGTCTGTAAATAATCGAGTCTAATCCAGTGATTAATGTCATGAGCATCGATCCACGCAATTGGGATCGATGACATGCATCAACCGAGTCAGCGAGCCTGACCACGCGATCCCGTTAGTCGCCTCTTACGACAAGCATAGTCACCTTGTACGGCAAGCATGGGTTGCTGAAGACCTGTTGTACCCCGGAATCTTCACGGGTCACCTTCACGAGAACTACTTCAAAAAAGAACTACAACTCTAACCCTACCCGCGTCTTATTGTATAATTAATATAGGCGTTCAGCAAGGTTCATATACTCCTGTTGTAAAGTTTTGAACTACTCTTTAAAAATTATATATTTGGTAAGCTTTTCAACCCAATCAATCTCAGCTGTTTCTCGTTAATTCGCAAATTTTGATTTTGTAAAAATAAGGTTTTAAAATATGATGAAGAAAACGGTTTTGGGTTTTAAATCATTCAACAATGCATTTTGCAGACACATTCAATAAAATTATCAATTTTGATTTTGTCTTTTCCTTGCTTGAAACGGCAATTTAACACTTTATATGACTGCATCCATGACTCAAATTGTCCTTTCCCGGACAATATTCAAACCCCGCTGAAATTACCAAGTACATGTTGCTGGTCAGAGGCAACTGAATAGATGGGGTGGTCAGGCCTGGTGATTTGGATGATAGCATCTCATCGTACCTCGATGGCATGGATCGTTGCTTACAATACCAATCACTTGCTTGTCTAAGTCGCGATTATATACGAGCAGTCATCATATAGATGAAATATTGCTTAGTGCGTCGTTAAACAATAAAGTAGGGAAGTATACAATTTGAATTTGTATTACTGTTAATGAGTGAGTGAGTGAGTATGGTTTTAGCAATATTCCCGCAATATCACGACGGGGGACACCAGAAATGGGCTTCACACATTGTACCCACGTCGGGAATCGAACCCGGGTTTTCGGCGTGACGAGCGAACGCTTTAACCACTAGGCTATATGTGCATTAGCCTGCCCATACTGTGGTATATACAACAGGTTGCGCTGAAATTAAAACATCTGTGTTTGAAGGGTTATTTGACAATTTAAGTACATAAGTAATTTTATTTTAATTTGAGTAATATTTATTATATCTAGCACTATCTGTGATCCCTTTGCTGCATGTTCTGAGATCGCTGACTAACGTACAAACATTTTACTGACTCGCAAAGAAGAGCAACTCAGAGAAGTTTCGTTTTCACTACCAAATAAAAGCCATCACTCTCCGATCTCCTTGTGGGTGAGCTGAGGTGAAATGCGGTTAACCGTCGCGTTCAAGAATATTGCACTTATATAGCGACGTGCATTCACGTGTGTGTGAGTCTGTGAGTCTTCCTGTACTGGTCAGAACTAATGCCGGTTTTATAGTGCTAGCTTACTGAGATATAAAGCGGCAGTTAAACATGGATTCTGTTTTAAGGTAAGAAAATGCATCCCTAAAACCTTAGAAAATATCAAATTCAACTTATAAAATGGCGGCTACTTTCATAATAGCTTTGATTGTCTTTTTATAAATAATGAGATTGAGATGATAATTTTTTCACCTCACTCAGATTAATCACCTCGCTCAAACACAGTATACTGACTCCGAGCTGACCAGTCATTGTTTTATCCCTTTAATGCCGACCGTCAGGCAGGGTAACAACAAGTACAGTACCTTAAGGTCTTTTGGCATGACGCATGTTAAACTGTGCCATGATATCTTAGGGGACTAGTACCGGCATTAGTCCAGACCAGTTCGAGCTGATACAAACGCACACGCACATAACACAAAACTACACATACGCACACACACACAGACACGTATATGTACTTCTCTATATCTTTCCATTTCACCCCCTTATCGTAGAGACCGCCTCCGTGGTCTTGTGGTAGAGCGTCCGCCCGGAGAGCGGAAGGTCCAGGGTTCGATCCCGGGCCGCGTCATACAAAAAGACGTTAAAAGTTTGTACTTGTTGTTACCCTGTCTGGCGCTCGGAATTAAGGGGCTAAAACAAGGACTGGTCGGCTCGGAGTCAGTATACTGTGTCTGAGTGGGGTATTCATGTTAAACTGCGGCATGGTATCTCAGTGAGCTAGCACTATAAATCGGCATCAGTCCGGACTAGTACAAGCAGCCACACACACACCTACACGTGCATGCACGTCGCTATATAAGTGCAATAATCTTGGACGCGACGTTAAACCCAATTTCACCTCACCTCACCTTATCGTAGACGTACTTTACTCACGTTGTCATACTGTTATCAGTTGACCCACCACAACAACGTACCCGAATGTATGGCCTTGATGCTGACATAAACCTTGTGATGATAAGGGCAAACGGTACAAAGTCCAGCGTATATTGGTTACGTTAACCTGGAGACTCTAACATCATAGACATACAGTAAACTACGGTTATAACGAACTCAAAGACACTACTATGTTTAGTTCGTTATAACCGTAATTCGTTATAAGCATATATACAGTATAACAACAGCAAGAAGTCGGGACTAAAAAGTTAGTTCGTTATATCCGTTAGTTCGTTATAAGCGTGTTCGTTATAACCGTAGTTGACTGTAATATTATACTCCATGTCTTTGATCAAATTCCTCAAGCTCTCGCGCCTCGCTACCTTAACACTTGTTAGAGAGGTTTGCTTGTTTCTTGTTACAGTAAACTACGGTTATAACGAACTCAAAGGGACTACTATTTTTAGTTCGTTTTAACCGTAATTCGTTATAAGCATATATACAGTGTAACTACAGCAAGAAGTCGGGACTAAAAAGTAAGTTCGTTATATCCGTTAGTTCGTTATAAGCGTGTTCGTTATAACCGTAGTTGACTGTACTTTTGTTCTAACCAATATTCCGACCGCCTCCGTTGTCTAGTGGTAGAGCGTCCGCCCGGAGAGCGGAAGGTCCGGGGTTCGATACCCGGCCTCGTCTAACCAAAAGACGTTAAAAGATTGTACTTGTTGTTACCCTGTCTGGCGCTCGGCATTAAGGGGCTAAAACAAGGACTGGTCGGCTCGGAGTCAGTATACTGTGTTTGAGTGGGGTATTCATGTTAAACTGCGGCATGGTATCTCAGCACTATAAATCGGCATCAGTCCGGACTAGTACAAACAGCCACACAAACACACACACGTACATGCACGTCGCTATATAAGTGCAATAATCTTGGACGCGACGTTACACCCCATTTAACCTCACCTCACCTCTAACCAATATTCCAGCTACATGACAGCAGTCTGTATATAACCGAATTTGAACCAGACAACCCAGTGATTAGTCGCCTCTTACGACAGCTATCGGAACGTGTAATCGTTTGTATACCCACAGATTCGTTCGTCAAGGACGAGCAAACACGAAGGAGCTGTATGGGAGCTTCGTGTGCAGTATTGACCTACCTCATAGTGACGGGAAAAAGTCAGCCGTGGACACACATATCCCTGTGATGTCAATGCCACTCGCTGTTGTCGGTGAGTCAGAGTTGTCAGCAGATATCATGAAAGCCATAAACGTTATGTGTCATTTCTTATCTGCTGCAACAGCGGTCACCTGGCGACTGTGGAATGCGTGTACATAAAGGTTGGCTAACTTCGGGCAAACTCCTGTTGGGGTGTGATATGCATGGTGCTAAAGCCTAGTGAGGTTGTCGGGGTGTGACATGCATGCTGCTGCAGTCTAGCGGGATTGTTGGGGTGCGATGTGCATGCTGCTGCAGTCTTGTGAGGTTTTTGGGGTTTGATATGCATGCTGCTGCAGTCTTGTGAGGTTTTTGGGGTTTGATATGCATGCTGCTGCAGTCTAGTGAGGTTTTTGGGGTTTGATATGCATGCTGCTGCAGTCTAGTGAGGTTGTTGGTTGGTGACATGCATGCTGCTGCAGTCTTGTGAGGTTTTTGGGGTTTGATATGCATGCTGCTGCAGTCTAGTGAGGTTGTTGGTTGGTGACATGCATGCTACTGCAGTCTAGTGGGATTGTTGGGGTGTGATATGCATGCTGCTGCAGTCTTGTGAGGTTTTTGGGGTTTGATATGCATGCTGCTGCAGTCTTGTGAGGTTGTTGGGGTGTGATATGCATGCTGCTGCAGTCTTGTGAGGTTGTCGGGCTGTGACATGCATGCTGTTGCTGTCTAGCGGGATTGTTGGGGTGCGATATGCATGTTGCTGCAGTCTTGTGAGGTTTTTGGGGTTTGATATGCATGCTGCTTTAGTCTAGTGAGGTTTTGGGGGTTTGATATGCATGCTGCTGCAGTCTAGTGAGGTTTTTGGGGTTTGATATGCATGCTGCTGCAGTCTAGTGAGGTTGTTGGTTGGTGACATGCATGCTGCTGCAGTCTAGTGAGGTTTTTGGGGTTTGATATGCATGCTGCTGCAGTCTAGTGAGGTTGTTGGTTGGTGACATGCATGCTACTGCAGTCTAGTGGGATTGTTGGGGTGTGATATGCATGCTGCTGCAGCCTAATGAGGTTGTTGGGGTGTGATATGCATGCTGCTTTAGTCTAGTGAGGTTGTTGGGGTGTGATATGCATGCTGCTTTAGTCTAGTGAGGTTGTTGGGGTTTGATATGCATGCTGCTTTAGTCTAGTCAGGTTGTTGGGGTTTGATATGCATGCTGCTTTAGTCTAGTCAGGTTGTTGGGGTTTGATATGCATGCTGCTTTAGTCTAGTCAGGTTGTTTGGGTGTGACATGCATGCTGCTGAAGCCTAGTGGGATTGTTGGGGTGTGATATGCATGCTGCTGAAGCCTAGTGGGATTGTTGGGGTGTGATATGCATGCCGCTGAAGCCTAGTGAGGTTGTTAATGTGTGATATGCATGCTGCTGCAGTCTAGTCATGTTGTTCGGGTGTGACATGTTTGCTGCTTTAGTCTAGTGAGGTTGTTGGTATGTGATATGCATGCTGCTTTAGTCTAGTGAGGTTGTTGGGCTGTGACATGCATGCTCCTGCAGGATAGTGAGGTTCTTGGCGTTTGAAATGCATGCTGCTGAAGTCTTCAACCATGAACGTCCCTGGTCATACATCAGGCATAGTTTGGAGAGAAATCGACATGTGTACGGATTACTGTGTTTAAATATATTTATTTTATGTAAAGGCACATGATTAAACATCTCAGCATGTAATTAATAACATTTAACAATATATAAATCGGGATTCTTCAGTGTCATTTCATCGATACTTGACACTGACATACAGACGTTTGTATGCTTGGGAAAATGCAAAGTTTTGCTTGAAAATGTTTATTTCTTAAAATGTTATGTAACAAACGGTTGCTATGGATTGATATGATACGTATTCAATCTCATTAAAACAAGATCTGAGTTCTAGCTGCCGCTAGACAAAGATCTGAGGACATCCCATTACGCGAACTTTTACCGACCTTTAGAAGGACTGACAAGAAGTCGACATTAACCAATCAGAAGGCAGCTTTCTCGTGCTTTACAGCACTAATTTCAAATTGGCGACTACGCTTCGAAACATATTTTGACAAATTCTCGATTAAAAATTTGAAACCTGAACAAAAGAACATTCTGAAATGGCTATTAGATGGTCTAGATTGTATGGATTCAATCGTTAAACCCTAACTATCGCTCGAAATACCCCGTGTTAAAGGTTTCTAGGTTGCAAGATTGAAAATCACATTCCGACTGTCACTTTCATGATCTGGTAAGAGACGCTCTGATTTGTCGGAGGAAAGGTCGTTCTGACGTGGCCCCTAATGGGATGTTCCGCAGATCTTTGTTTAGCGGTAGCGAGAACTAAGATCTGATTTTAATGAGATTGTATGATATTCAAAACGTTCGTCATTTAGGATACCGACCTGATTTTTATGTGACTGATAATTTCAGTTGTAAGTAACTGACTCGATTTCTCAGAACGTTTTACACCACTTTTAGTTATATTCTTGCAATATCACGGTGGGAGATACCAGAAATGACACACATTGTACACATGTGGGGAATCTAACCCGGTCCTTCGGCGTGACGAGCAAATGCTTTAGCCACACGACTACCCCAGGTTTGAAGTTGAAACAAATGATGTTTTGATCTCGATGTCAACGACAAAGGGATCACAGAGAGTGTGAATATTATTGTCAATGCAGTGTCAATATTATGTTGTCACTGCTTCATACATGTTTTTGGGACCAATGCATTTTTTAGGACAACAAGTAAACAAAGTTTGTTTTTCTTGTCAATCTTGAGGCAAAAGTATTTTCCCCAATATATTTTCTGGTACAGTTTAAACCAAATAAGTAGTTATTACATTCACGGGTGGCCCATACGTCTGAAGCGCCGCGATTCGGTGTGCAAAGTTGCGTCCCTTGGGCACGCCAGAAACCTACGATCGTGGGTTCGAATCCCGGTTCGCCCCTATTATGTTTCTAGGTTTGTCGGCACCAAACCCGTGATCGTGGATTTCACCGAAGTGGTAAACGTCTGGGACCTGCATCACTTCGGGCTTTCCTCCCACATTTAACTGACACGCCGTTGACACGCCGTCACTCACTCTTTCGAAATGAATGCGCATGCGCATTCTTTAAGATTGACCACTTGAGTGACCATAGCATGTCGCCCAAAATCTTACCACTCCCCCCCCCCCCACCCCCCCTTACAATGAAGGCTTCTTGAGTTATTGTGAGCATAATTTAGCGTATGCTCTGTGGTAGTCAATGTTACAACCAATATACATCAATAGCATATGTTACTCATTGAACGAAGGTCACTGTGACCTTGTTATCACTAGCATACATATATATTCAAATAATATAACAATTGCATGCATGACGTACAAACATACACTACGTACTAAGGCCTTAACGTGGCCTTGATCTTATACGTAAGTAACTCCGGACCATCTCGACGAACCAAGTTTCATTAACCTATAATACGACTCGATTTAGGCAGTAAAATTACCTATTTCTACCTTGGCCTTGACGATGACCTTGACCCTTGACATGACATTTGTTTAGTCCAAAACAAGTTCAATGGAGGCTTTAATGGGGATATGATGTCTCTAAGATGTCCAAACACAGCTTGTTTTCAAAAACAAAATGTGCCGGCGGTTTAATTTAGGCAAAAACTTGAAGCATCCCCATTTACATGTACAGTAATAATATGCACGAATATGCAAAGCCATAAATTCCTTAAATTATATATTTCCACGTTTTGTCTTTGAGTATATTATCACGTTTTGTCTTTGAGTATATTAAAAAAACTGTTTAACATAATTATAAATACTCACCGTGTATTCTTTTGTGGTAATTCTGAGAAACTTCTCCAGTTTAACAGCGAACGGGATGGACGAGGCGCCAGGGGACCGCGGAATATTTGGTAAAGAATCACCTTGGCAGCAGCACTGAGGAAAGCAAACTTTCACTATCCAGTATAAAGACAGTTACAAAATATATTCTTGCCTCAAAGCAAGTACAAAAAATATATTTGCATATTTAAATAAACATTGCAAAAAATGTTCAAAAGCAGGCGAAAATGTGCATAAAATACGGTATTTCTAAATTAAGGAGGGCACGTGAGGCATAACGATCATCGCAGTGAAAACAGGAAACCTACTCAATACAAGAACAGTGAAGGTAACTGTTATACTGCAAACATATCTGTGAGCTTCTTTGAACTCATCTCAAATGAACCTCCCCCGTGTAGATCCGGGTAGAGATTAGGTCTTCAGCAACCCATGCTTGCCGTAACAGGCGACTATGCTTGTCGTTAGAGGTTACTATGCTTGTCGTAAGAGGCGACTAACGGGACCGAGTGGTCATGCTCGCTCGTTTGGTTGATGCATGTCACCATATCCGAATGGCGTAGATGGATGCTCATGGTGACAATCACCGGATTGCCTGGTCTAGACTCGACTATTTACAGATCGCCGTAATATAGCTGAAATATTGCTGAGTGCGGCGTTAAGCAACAAACGAGCAAAAAATTACATGAACCTTTTGCAGTGAGCTGAAAATGATGACCACTGAATGCTCTTACATAAAGGACACTGGGTGGCATTCTCAGCTTATTCTGTTAGCTTCATAATACCCCGGGACGATAATCCGCGTGACGCCAGATCCCGCCGGATAATATCCGTACAACTTGACTGTCAATTTTAAGAATCATATTTCACAGGATTCAGAAAAAATATGTAATTTAATATTGAGCAAGATCATGCAAGGGTCACGATTGCCGCCTGATTGTATTTTGCTGTTTGATAGTCACGTGAACTAGTGAAACTAGCGAATCTAGTTCCAGTATGAATTCTACCCAATGCCGACCGAGAGGACCTTTGGGACTGAGGTGAACCGAGTGAACTGTGTCAGTGTCACGTCCTTACTACATTCCTGCTTCAAAATTACATATCAGTTACCGCCATCACGTTGTTCATATTCTGATGACGAGGGCAAAAAAGCATGTTCACAATATGCAAGGCCGTTGAATACAAACATCAACTACTGCTTGAGCGCTTTGACGCCAATCAGTTGTGGCACAAGGTGACCCAGTCACAACGACACAATATTATTTGGTCACAACTGTGCGATGCTCTCAACAAGCCCG